TAGTGTCGTTGTCCTGTTGGAAGGTGAACCTTCGCCCAGGTCTAAGGTCCTGAGCGCGCTACAGCAGGTTTTCATTAAGGATCTCTCTGTACTTTGCTCCGTTCATCTTTGCCTCGATCCGGATTAGTCTCCCAGTCCCTGCCACTGAAAAACATCCCTATAGCATGATGTTCCCACCACCATGCTTCACCGTACGGATGGTGCCAGGTTTACTCCAGACGTGACGCTTGGCATTAAGGCCAAAGAGTTCAATCTTGGTTTCATCAGACCAGAGAATCTTGTTTCTCATGGTCTGAGAGTCTTTAAGTGCCTTTTGGCAAACTCCAAGTGGGCTGCCTTTTACTGAGGAGTGGCTTCCGTCTGGCCACTCTACCATAAAGGCCTGATTGGTGGAGTGCTGCAGAGATGGTTGTCCTTCTGGAAGCTCTGTCAGAGTGACCATCGGGTTCTTGGTCACCTCCCTGACCAAGGCCCTTCTCCCCCGATTGCTCAGTTTGGCTGGGCGGCCAGCTCTAGGCAGAGTCTTGGTGGTTCCAAACTTCTTCCATTTAAGAATAATGGAGGCCACTGTGTTCTTGGGGACCTTCAATGCTGCAGAAATTTTTTGGTTCCCTTCCCCAGATCTGTGCCTCGACACAATCCTGTCTCAGAGCTCTATGGACAATTCTTTTGACCTCATGGCTTGGTTTTTGCTCTGACATGCACTGCCAACTGTGGGACCTTATATAGACAGGTGTGTGCCTTTCCAAATCATGTCCAATTAATAGAATTTACCACAGGTGGACTCCAATCAAGTTATAGAAACATCTCAAGGATGATCAATGGAAACAGGATGCACCTGAGCTCAATTTCAAGTCTCATAGCAAAGGGTCTGAATACAGAATACTTATGTAAATAAGGTATTTCGGTTGTATTTTGAATACATTTGCGAAAATTTCAAAAAAGCTGTTTTAACTTTGTCATTATGGGGTATTGTGTGTAGATTGCTGAGGATTTTTAAAATGTTATCCATTTTAGAATAAGGCTGTAACATAACAAAATGTGGAAAAGGTCAAGGGGTCTGAATACTTTCCAAAGGCACTGTATCTCACCTTGGCATGTTGGACGAGCAATCCGACACAAAACGTATGAAGGTAAGCACATTTTTTAAGTAATATTATAGCAAATGGGAGGTAGTCCCGACCGTGACTTGAACATGTGTCCAGCAACCTACATTACCCTCTTCATTCGGGAGAGTTCCCCCCCACGCTTCTCTATACCAAGTCCCTCACGTGTACTTGCATCTCCAATGGCCTCACGGGTACCATCCCACTTCTGACACCAATGTAGCAAATTCGGGGGGTAGCCCCAACCGGGACTTGAACTTGGGTCCAGCAAATGTCAAGCCAACACCTTACCGTTACACCAATAGGTCAGATCCTCTTGGCGAGGTTGCTAGGTGTTGGGTTAAGGTCACTACAATATTTAATTAATGACAGTTTGGTGAGTCATAAGGATTAGCCTACATTTAATTAGTTTAATTTCACATTGTTTGATTTACTGTCATGCCTAATGCAAAGACAATGTTGATATTGTATCATGCTCTGTGACCCGGTAACTTAGCCTAACTTTAGGCTATTTAATATTGATCAGGTGTCAGATTGGCTTAGGTGGCTTATAAAGCCACAGTCCTTGATTTGTTTTTAACCAAATGGCAGCCCTGTCACTCTATAAAGCAGAGGGATGGGCCCTAAACAGGTTATGCTCATGAGGCGTTTATAAGCCATTGAACAACCATAGGACATTGTATGGTAGGTCATTAAACAGCTGTAAATAATGCATATTGTGTTGTACCTAAAATAAAATGTCTACTTTTATTAAACTATCCTAAGCATTGTGAAATTGTTGTGCAATAAAAAAAAATCTCACAGTTTTCACTTGAAAATAATAACTAAATAATATAACAGGACTAATATTTAATGATCCAGCGCAAAAAAATCTTGTGATACCAGCAAACAGTATTTTTGCTGCAAATAATCTTAGTTAACCCAGAACTAAAGTCTTGTGTATTTGCATTTTGCATCACCTGCGGATTTGTGTGATTTGTCCAAATAACCAGACAACCAGTGATGAAAAACCCAAACATCGTTATACTACGCATCCCTTTATCCTACACAGCTCGTTATCCTATGCATCCCGTTCAGTCCAGACAGATTCTACGGTACCAGTTATGTTTACGTAGATAATCTGTCCACAAGAGATTAGGCCGCAAAACATGACACATTGTCCATTATGACGTCAAGGTCGGACGACAGACCATCTAGTTTATCCATATTTTTGTTGTATTTCTGTGATGCGCTCTGCAGTTTTCAAATGTGTGTAGATGGCCTAAAATTAGAAGAACTTTCTGCAATTTATAGACGTTTTACATTGGCTAATTAATTTAGTAATTAAAACATGCACAATCCTATGTAACAAAACATTGATCATCTCTACTGGAAATGATTAGCCTATAACATTTGTGATAATAATTCAAAACAATTTAACCAAAAATTGGGAAATAGTGCAAGTGAAAAATACACCTTTTTGTATCATTCAGGACGTGAAGGATGAGAAAGGAAAGTGATGGAGGTGAAGGATGAGCCAGTGGCTCAGCCAAAGAAGGAGACAAAGCACAGGGCTGGCAGTGGCCAGGTAAGATTCAGAGACTCATTTGCACCTTTCTCTACATTTACATTTACATCATTTAGCAGATGCTCTTATCCAGAGCGACTTACTCTAGCACCCTGCATAGTGACAAAAGCTGTCTCATCTACACTTGAGTCTTCCCTCTACCGCTCAACCCGAGGAGAAGCACAAACGCTCCATCTTTGACAGGATGGTGTCGAGGAAAGGCCGGCGGAATCCTTTCAAATAAAGTAGTTAACTATTTCAAGCAGAAATTCAACAAATAAACCTTTTATTTTGATGTTCAATATCATATATTTAAAAGTTGTTTTAAATAGGGGGAGGCTGACCTGAAACCCTTGTTTTACACACACAAATATTTGATTATTTAAACACATTGGAGTGTGGGAAGAGGGGTCCAGATACAAACACTAAACCCAATAGAATACAAAGAACAACGGTAGCAAAAACTGGTTTCTAAATCCCTCAACATGGAAGCTCTGTACAATGGTAGATCACCCTTTGTAAACCCAACTGAGCCCTGAGAATCACATGTCCAGTCCACATCAAGCTTCTGTGATTGGGCACTTCTACAAAGGGATCAAAGGTCAAACAAACGTTTCCACTGAAGAGATAGGTGCTGGTGCCACAACAAACAAAAAAACACATATTCCCTGGAAGTGACAGCATCAATGCCATACCTCACCTGTCATCATTGAAAGGATGCATGTCCACTTGAAGTATCAGGTACCCTCGTAGAATAGTCAACTTTTCTGACAATATATAATTCTCAATGTGCATTCGGAAAGTATTCAAACCCCTTCCCTTTTTCCACATTTTGTTACGTTACAGCCTTATTCTAAAATTGATTAAATTACATTTTTTCCTCATCAATCTACACACAATGCCCTATAATGACAAAATGAAAACAGGTTTTTAGAAATGTTTCCTAATTTATAAAAAATATCAAACAGAAATACCTTATTTACATAAGTATTCAGACCCTTTGCTATGAGCCTCGAAATTGAGCTCAGGTGCATCCTGTTTCCATTGATCATCCTTGAGATTTTTCTACAACTTGATTGGAGTCCACCTGTGGTAAATTCAATTGATTGGACATGATTTGGAAAGGCACACACCTGTCTATATAAGGTCCCACAGTTGACAGTGCATGTCAGAGCAAAAACTAAACCATGAGGTCGAAGGAATTGTCCATAGATCTCCGAGACAGGATTGTGTCGAGGCACAGATCTGGGGAAGGGTACCAAAAAATGTCTGCAGCATTGAAGGTCCCCAAGAACACAGTGGCCTCCATTCTTAAATGGAAAAAGTTTGGAACGACCAAGATTCTTCCTAGAGCTGGTCGCCTGAGCAATTGGGGGAGAAGGGCCTTGGTCACGGAGGTGACCAAGAACCCGATGGTCACTCTGACAGAGCTCCAGAGTTCCTCTGTGGAGATGGGAAAACCTTCCAGAAGGACAACCATCTCTGCAGCACTCCACCAATCAAGACTTTATGGTAGAGTGGCCAGAAGGAAGCCACTCCTCAGTAAAAGGCACATGACAGCCCACTTGGAGTTGGCCAAAAGGCACCTAAAGGACTCTTAGACCATAAGAAACAAGATTATCTGATCTGATGAAACCAAGATTGAACTCTTTGGCCTGAATGCCAAGTGTCACGTCTGGAGGAAACCTGGCACCATCCCTACAGTGAAGCATGGTGGTGGCAGCATCATGCTGTGGGGATATTTTTCAGCGGCAGGGACTGGGAGACTAGTCAGGATCGAGGGAAAGATGAACGGAGCAAAGTACAGAGAGATCCTTGATGAAAACCTGCTCCAGAGCGCTCAGGACTGCAGACTGGGGTGAAGGTTCACCTTCCAACAGGACAACGACCCTAAGCACACAGCCAAGACAACGCAGGAGTGGCTTCGGGACAAGTCTCTGAATGTACTTGAGTGGCCCAGCCAGAGCCCAGACTTGAACCCGATCTAACATCTCTGGAGAGACCTGAAAACAGCTGTGCAGCGACGCTCCCCATCCAACTTAACAGAGCTTGAAAGGATCTGCAGAGAAGAATGGGAGAAACTCCCCAAATACAGGTGTGCCAAGCTTGTAGCGTCATACCCAAGAAGACTCAAGGCTGTAATCGCTGCCAAAGGTGTTTCAACAAAGTACTGAGTAAAGGGTCTGAATACTTATGTAAATGTGAGTTCAAATTTCTATTTTTAATAGATTTGCAAAATAAATTAAAAACCTGTTTTTGCTTTGTCATTATGGGGTATTGTGTGTAGATTGATAAGAGAAAAAAACAATTTCATCCATTTTAGAATAAGGCTGTAACATAACAATATTTGGAAAAAGTCAAGTGGTCTGAAACCTTTCCGAATACACTGTATATTACTTTGCGTACCAGTATTCCGTTTTTTATAGGAACTCTGCAGGTTCAGTCTCAAACATTTTAATGTGCCAAAAATGCATTTAATCTCATTTGAGAAATATTTCACTAACACCTGTAGGTGGGCCCTATTCACTCCGATGTAAACAACTGCTTCCATATAGCTGTGTATGGCTGGATAGTGTACTGTACATTCTCTCCCTCATCAGCTGTCCATGCAACAGTACAGCACAGTTCTGTAGTGTGTTCCTTGTAGCACTTTGAAAGTGCATAGTGCATCCATGTCCTCCCTCTCAGGTTCACCTCCCTTGGTTATGCTTTTGGTCACCAACTCCGTTCCCGTCACTGTATGACACACAGCTCAGTGCTGTCCTGATTACATGGATCTGCGGTCCTGTCTAAGTGTTCCTCAATGTGACGTGTGTCGTAAGTCCCCTCCGGCCCCCTCTCCTGTTCCTCCTCTGTGGGGAGCAGACTCTGTCTCAGCTCCATCAGCTGGTCCCGTCCCTCGCTGGATGGCAGGTTGCCCAGGTAGTACTGAGGGGCCAGCTCCACCAACCTTCCCACAGGAAACAGTCAGGGGAAAAGGTTCCATAAAAGTAATGCACTTACTTACTTACTTACTTTATTGTCCCCATGGGGAAATTTTGTTGCAGTGTCATGTACACATTTAAAGTGGCGTTAAATACAAAACAAGATTGACAATACAACTTTCAATAACAGTCACGCACCAATAAAAGTAAGAAATAAGAAATAAAACATTTAAAACATTTAAAACAAAGACTAGCCTGCTGGCCTTACGGGGTCAATGGGAACATTTGCCCGAGCTATTTAAGAGGGATATCACACCTGGCACAAATGATTGTCTCGTTCTATTTTTCCTGCTGAGGGGTGCCCTATACCTACGCCCAGAGGGGAGTAATTCAAAGTCCAGGTACAGGGGGTGACTTGGGTCTAAAATGATTTTGTGAGCCTTACGGAGGGCCCTGACCTTAAAGATCTCATCCAGGCCTGTCTGTTTGACTCCAAGTACCTTACTTGCTGTGGTAATAATCCTTCTCAGCATGTTTCTCTGACTGACAGTGGCATTGCCAAACCAACAAACAATACAAAAAGTTAAAATACTCTCAATAAAGGATTTGTAAAACAGAGTCAATATAGTACAGTCTATATTAAAATAACCCAACTTTTTTAGAAAGTACAGTCTCTGTTGGCTCTTTTTGTAGATCTGGTCTGTACATTTACTCCACTGAAGCTTACTGTCCAAAAAGACACCCAGATATTTATATTCCTCTACAATTTCTATATTCTGGCCTCTGATAGATGTTGCAGAGGTAGGTGTTGTACGCTTCCTGAAGTCTATGCACATCTCTTTGGTCTTGTTAGTATTGAGGACCAAGTGTGATTCCTCACACCACTCTACAAAGTCATCTAGGACCGGGCCATGATGTTCCTTAAATGCCTAGTTTACCTCAATGTAATGACATGTGCACGTCAGAAGACTTCTATACCATATTAACATGGTTCCGGAGAAGTTTAATGCTTGTTGTTGTGCGATCTGATCATCTGTGCAGCATGACGACCTGGAATGCACCCACTATCTTCTGACAGATAGTACAGTTTACTGAACTGTCAAATCAAAGAACTAGTATTCCAAAAGGAAGCAAAGTCGCCATTATGTAGATGGCCTAAAGATGTTCAGGGTTACTGTGTACATTACATACTTACTATCTACAACAAAAGTTCACCAAAAAAAATGTGGGGTTACTCACATGTGGGGATGCACTTCGGAGGCGGTGCGGACACAGTTGTCGTGGGAGATGGTAAATTCGTGGTAGAGCACCCAGGAGGGGGGGTTGGAGCGCGGCCGGCGACACAGATAGGAGGAGAAGGGGTGGAGGTGAGCCACGTGACGGTGAGTCAACAGGAGGTAGTTACCTGAGCCGTCCACATCATGAGCCACCTGAGAACGAGACAGGGGAAGGGAGAAGAGGAAACGCAACAAGATAGAGAGAAACAAATATAGAAAGAGCAGGATAGACCGAGTGGGGGAAGGCAGAGAGACACCAGAATGGAAAGTAAGAAGAAAATATGAAAATTGAGAAAGACAGTAAGGTAAAGACAAATAGGGGGGAGGAGAGAGAGGTTAGGGTCTATATATTTCCCCGTCTTATTTCAGATACACAACATAAACAAACGAACAAACTAATCTTCAATGGAGAATTGAACTGATGAGTCCTTTTACCTTGAGGAAGAACCCTGAGATGAGCGCACGCTTGATATTAGTGCAGTTGTCTTGGCAACCAAAGGCAGGAGGCGAGACGGGCAACTCTATTCGCTGCATCACCTCCAGCAGCTCCGCCCTAATCATCACAGCCAATCGTAATGCAGCGGGGTTCAGGAAGTTGGTAGTACACCAGGCATCATCCTCATTGTCTAAAAGAGCAATCAGATAAACACACAGATTAATATTCAGGAGGAGAACTGTGTAAAATGCATGTCGTGCCCATATGTGTATTACTATAAGTTGATGTTCGTGTGCGTGTGTGTTTGTGCGCATAAACCAAACCTCCTGTACATTGCAGCTGTGTGTGTGTAGTAGTATATAGGACTCACGCTGTATATACGCGTTGTAGATGTTGATGAGGGTGAAGTGGTCTCCCTCATTGTGCAACAGTGGACGTCTGTGAGTGGCTGCTGCCTCCTCTCTCTGGGGTGGGGGGGTCACAAAGCAGGAGGGAGCTGGGAACACGCACAGGTAGAGAATTTAAATGAATGACTGTTAAAAAACAAAAAGTCAAAGTTATAGAAACAAAACAATATTCTGAAAGGCACGTAAAAAAGGGAAGCTATGAGTAAAGGCACATTTTACAGCCAGTAATTAGCACCTTGGTCATTGTAGCGAGTGTAGTGTGTGTGTGAGAGAGTCTGCCGTGTGTACCTGTGAGCATGGCGGCGATGGTGAGCAGCTCGTTGACACAGTCAAACTCGCAGGCAGCGATGAGGGCCTTGGCCAGCGAAGGCTCCAGGGGCAGCTCTGACATAATGATGCCCACTTCAGACAGGTTCCCATCATCATCCAGCGCTGCCAGGTAGTCTAGGTCCTCTAGAGCCTGCATCAGAGCCTCAGGAGCTGGGAGAGGGGGGGGGGGGGATAAAAGAGAGAGAGAATAAAATAGAGAGGGATGGATTGAAGAAATTGAGGGATACGGGAAGAGATTATATTTATATTCTGTCTGATATCACAAAATAGAAGGTACCTAGAAAACACAAACTCCCATGAATGCAAGGTGCACTTCATTCATTCAAAGGAGACAGCAAGGCTGAACTAGCTAGATGATGTGTGGCCCTCCTTACCAGGCCTGTCCAGGAACTTGCACTGGCCCATGTCAGCGATGTCCAGCCTCTTGAGCAGCAGCACCAGGTGGCTGAGGTTCTCCTCCATCACCCCCGGGCTGCGGGCCTCTTCCATGCCCTCCGCATACAGAGCCTGGGGGTACAGACGGAAACACAGACCTGGAGGGACAGGAGAGGGGTCAGAAGAATACATGGAGAGAGGATAGTTGGCCTGTAACAGCTATGTATGTCCCTTCTCTTAAATTAGAAAAACACCACAGTCCATGATGATTTCTTAAAACAGATTGATTGACCCTAACATACCTGGTAGGTCACTGTTTACCCTCTGCGTCCGCATGTCTGCCTGGTGCCGGCTGATTGGACACATGACCTGTGAGTCCGCTCTGATTTGAGGGTTGTAAACCTATGACACGGAGGCAGAAAGAGTGGGAGGTTATGCATGGCACTGGGACTCGGTACACCTCAATAGTTTGTTGAGGTTATGCGGCATTGTAGCATTGCCACATTTGACAATGGAGATGAGCCCACTGTGTCGGATAGTGCAACACACACTCCTTCTCCCTCCCACCTCTGATAATTGAGTACTCACTGTCTTAAGTTGCATGCCTGTGTCTATGACGTAGCGCACTCCAGATAGAGAGAAGGAGGCCTCCCCCAGGGTGTCTGTGAGGATGACCCTGCGCCTCACTCCCATTCCCAACCCTATCCCTGGCCCTTCCAGTCCTTCAGACCCCTCCGTGTCACCAGAAGGCCCCTCTGGCTCAGGTTCGTAGATGCGCTGGGTGGCCCCTCCAAGGCCTGTATGGAGGTGTAGAACTCTGAGGGGCCCAAGCTGAGGACTCAGGGCCACAGACTCCTTCTCCAGCAGAAAGCCACACTCGTCTATCTCCTGAGAAACAGAGCGAGAGATGGTTGGTATTATACAGTGCATTCGGAAAATATTCAGTCTCCTTCCCTTTTCCCACATTTTGTTATATTACAGCCTCATTCTAAAATTGATGTATTTTTTTATCCCCTCATCAATCTACACACAAAACAGGTTTTTAGACATTTTTGCAAATGTATTAAAAATAAAAAACAGAAATACCTTATTTCATAAGTATTCAGACCCTTTGCTATGAGACTCGAAATTGAGCTCAGGTGCATCCTGTTTCCATTGATAATCCTTGAGATTTTTCTACAACTTGATTGGAGTCCACCTGTGGTAAATTCTATTGATTGGACCTGATTTGGAAAGGCACACATCTGTCTATATAAGGTCCCACAGTTGACATTGCATGTCAGAGCAAAAACCAAGGCAATTGTCCGTAGAGCTCCAAGACAGGATTGTGTCAAGGCACAGATCTGGGGAAGGGTACCAAAGAATGTCTGCAGCATTGAAGGTCCCCAAGAACACAGTGGCCTCCATCATTCTTAAATGGAAGAAGTTTGGAACCACCTAGACTCTTCCTAGAGCTGGCCGTCCAGCCAAACTGAGCAATCAGGGGAGAAGGGCTTTGGTCAGGGAGGTGACCAAGAACCCGATGGTCACTCTGACAGAGCTTCCAGAAGGACAACCATCTCTGCAGCACTCCACCAATCAGGCCTTTATGGTAGAGTGGCCAGACGGAAGCCACTCCTCAGTAAAAGGCACATGACAGCCCGCTTGGAGTTTGCCAAAAGGCACCTAAAGACTCTCAGACCATGAGAAACAAGATTCTCTGGTCTGATGAAACCAAGATTAAACTCTTTGGCCTGAACGCCAAGCACCACGTCTGGAGGAAACCTGGCACCATCCCTACGGTGAAGCATGGTGGTGGCAGCATCATACTGTGGGGATGTTTTTCAGCAGCAGGGACTGGGAGACTAGTCAGGATTGAGGGAAAGATGAACGGAGCAAAGTACAGAGAGATCCTTGATGAAAACCTGCTCCAGAACGCTCAGGACCTCAGACTAGGGCGAAGGTTCACCTTCCAACAGGACAACGACACTAAGCACACAGCCAAGACGACGCAGGAGTGCCCATTCTCCTGCTCCTTTCTCATGTCTCACCCCCTCTCTCTCGCCCTCTCTCCCTCTCCCTAAACACATGGTTTAGTTTGATCTGAGTTGAGACTTGGCAAACAGTACTCTGTTTACTGTGGCTCTTCTAATGAGCCTTAACCAGATCAGTTCTCCTGGCTGGCTAGCTAGCTCTGTGTTTTGCAGCCATGGTGTCAACTACTGTACTTAAGTCCAGGTCTGCCTCCGGATTTGAATCCATAGCCGGGAATGAGGCGAGGAGCTAGGGTGTGGTGATGTTGACATAGTGGAAGTGTGTATGTGAGAGGTGTATGTGAATATGATGGGGCTATTTATCTATCAATCTGTGTGTGTGTGTGTGTTCTGGATGCATTAACCAGGACACCTGATACAGACTGATGCCATTCAGCAGTCTAAGGTTACAGTGTCCCCGTTTCTCTGTCCCCAGCGTGAGAGGCAACAACAGACAAGGAAGAGGATGGCATATTACAAAACACAGCACAACAAAGCATTAAGAAATAAGACTCAGTTCAATAGGGATTTTCAGATAGACTTTCTTCTATCAGAAACAGACAAGAAGATATGGGATAGGTCCTCTGTAGCTCAGCTGGTAGAGCACGGCACTTGTAACGCCAGGGTAGTGGGTTCGATCCCCGGGACCACCCATACACAAAAATGTATGCAAGCATGACTGTAAGTAGCTTTGGATAAAAGCGTCTGCTAAATGGCATATTATTATTATTATTATAGAAAGGAAGTTCATTTAGCAGTCACTTTTATCCAAAACGACTTACATCGTGCAGGAAGTAATACCACAACTCTGCTGTTGCATGCACCCGACTAACCCTAACTAACCCCATCTACCCTAACTAGCCCTAACTACCCTAACTAACCCGACCAAACGTAACCCACTGAGCCATCTCTCTGTACCAGCAGTAGGCCTACTGGGCATCTACTGTCTACTGATCTGTAAGGCTAAAAACAGCCCCAGTAGTTAATGAGATTAGCTGTATATATTTAGTATAGTGTGTAGTGTGTGTGTGTGCGCGCATCTACCTGGGCGCTAGGGAGAAAGACCATTACATCCCCCTCCTCCCCCCTGCGGTGGAGATCCAACACCATGTGACACGCCGCCGCCGCCGACTCCCTCCCTCCAGGATCCCTGTACACCGTTTCCACGACAACCAGTGGTCTCATCCTCATCTCTGTGTCGGGTGTACCTCCGACAGGCTCATCCAGCGTTAGAAATGGAACTCCTTCACACAGGAAGGTTGCAAGGCTGGGGGCGAGGGAGGGGTCGGTGAGCAGGACCACGCGGAGGTTGTCGGGGCGCTGGCCGCACACGTCCCGCAGCAGGCCCAGGAGGACGTCGGTGGGCACCGTGCGCTCCTGCACCTCGTCCACAACCAGCACCCCGTACTGACGCAGCAGGGGGTCCGACATCATCTCTCCTAGGAGCAGAGAGTCACTGACGAACCTGAGAGAGGGTGGGGGAGAGAGAGGATGAGAGGGGATAGAGAGATCATGGAGAGAAACAAACCCACCCCTTAAAGCTGCAATATGGAACTTTTTTTTTTTGGAAATGCGAGTTATAGATCTGTCATTCTCATTACATTTTCATTCTTACACAGAAGTGGTAGATCTGTTCTATGTGTGCTATTTCTATGCTTCCCAATCTTAAAGATGCACTATGCAGAAATCGCTCTATGCAGAAATCACTTCTATGCAGAAGTTTATATGACAAAACAAGCAAGTATAGTGTAGAGCACGGTTTCCCAAACTCGGTCCTGGGGCCCTCCCCAGGGTGCAAGTTTTGGTTTTTGCCCTAGCACTACACAGCTGATTCAAATAATCAAAGCATGATGATGAGTTTGATATTTAAATCAGCTGTGTAGTGCTAGGGCAAAAACCAAAATGGGCACCCAGGGGGGTCCCCAGTACCGAGTTTGGGAAACTCATGTGTAGAGAATCATTGTACCATCTAAACCACTGTGAAATATATTTTTCATAACCAAAAATATTGTATTTTCAGCTGTTTGAAGCTGGTGTACAAAAACCGAAAGTAAAAGACGCAAAAATGAAATTTAAGAATGGGAAGCATAGAAATAGCGCACATAGAACAGATCTACCACTTCTTAGACCTGCTTTCAATGAGAATGACAGATCTATAACACACATTTATTTCTATGTGAATTTGGTCATGTCGCCCAAAAAGTTACATATTGCAGCTTTAAGTTTCGTTTTTGTACACCAGCTTCAAACAGCTGAAAATACAATATTTTTGGTTATTAAAAAAATATTTCACAGCGGTTTAGATGGTACAATGACTCTCTACACTTGTTTTGTCACATAAACTGAAATTAGGCAAACTATTAGAATTTTTGCAACCAGGAAATGGCGGAGCGATTTATGCATATTGCACCTTTAATCCGATTGTATTGCACTTGTATAAACCTCAGGGGGAGACAGAGAGCAGAAAGGAGGGTGGACAAACCAGTCAGACAAACCACTGTGCTTCTACATCTGATTGCTGTTTGGGATTTTAGGCTGGGTTTCTGAAGTAAAAAGGGCTTTATAAATACATTTGATTTGATTTGAGTTAGAAGAAGATAAGGAGGAAGTAAGGACCGTGCCGTCAGATAGTGTGATGCGTGTGTACCCAAGCTTGTACCTATGTGTATGTGTGTGTACATACAAATGCCCCAATCTTCATGCACACCTGTGTGTCTACCTCCCTCCTCACCTGAGTAGCGTATCGGGGGTACAGCCATCGTCGTGGGGGACACAGTAGCCCACCTCCAGGCCCAGACTCAGGTCCATCTCATCAGCCACTCTGAGGGCCAGACTCGCTGCAGCCACAGCGTAGGGCTGGGAACAACACACCAAGCCCTGGGAGAGCTCATGGGACAGGGCATACTCCACACACCACTGGGGCACCTTGGAGGGAGAAGGTGAGGGACAGAGATAGAGACAAAGAGAGGGAGGGAGACAGAGTGAAAGACTGATATGAACACAAAGTAAGAGTGGGTACAGTATGATAGCCTGTGTGCTTACTTGCTTAAGTTTGTACAGTGGTCTGTCTGCCTGTACTCAGTGTCTGAATATTGAGTAAATTTGGAGGGTCCCTATACCAATGTGTGTTTGAGTGTGAATGTGAGTGTGTCTACCTGTATGTTTGCCATGTTTCCCCACCTTCCCAGCCATTGCTCTCTCTCTGGGCTCTTCACCACCAGTGCTCATGTGTGCCCATGTATCTGTGTGTGCATGCATGTTTGTATGTATTATGCATGTGTCTTACCTGTGTGCTCTTTCCTGTGCCACTGGGGGCGCTGACCACGACCATGCTGTGTGTCTCCAGGTGCTCCAGCAGGCGGTACTTGAGGCTCCACACAGGAAGCTTCTTCCTCTCCTCCAGCAGCAAGTAGTAGCGTGACGAGAAGGGCAAGCCATCGTACGGGTTCACCTCCAGGTCACCCAGGCCACCTTCATCCCCCCCTCCGTCCCCCGCCCCGTCCTCCAGGTCCCTGGACAGGAGAGAGGACATGGAGAGGGAGTCCAGAGCCAAGGGAGGGTGGAGGGTGGAGGGGGACGTTGTCGAGGGGGCAGACGCAGGGGATGACGACATCAGTGCAGGGTGGATGGGGGAGACGGGAGGGGAAAAAGGAAAAGGGCTACCTGGGGAGAGGACCAGAGAAGAGAAAGAGGCATTGGTTATCTGGATGCTGTTGTGTTAGAGCTTGTAGAGCAAGTTTTAGAGTTCACTCAACTTAGTTGACCCGTCTTGAGACAAAGGGATTCATTTGCTTGAGGCTAGGGACCTGGTGTTAAACTTGAGTCACAGAAGGAAATGCAATATATATGTATATATATATATCACATGTTATTTCAAAAATATAATTTATATCCTGAGAGAGAAAGTTTAATGTGGTGTAAGAAGCCTCAAACTTTTCACAGGGGTAAGGTCATTTTCATCCTTGACTAGCTCAGTATACAGTAACAGTTGTGCTATGCAGAGTGCATTGTAGCTAGTCTAGTCATTGCAGGCCTAGGAAGTCAGACAGCTTCAGTGACAAACAGCACAGAGCAGCTCTAGCTCTGTACAGCAGCTGTGGGCCTGTGCTATTCCACTCACTCCTGGAATGTCTGCATTTGCCTCATGTGCATGGAGCAATCCACACAAGAGCACTCGCACACACACAAACAACACAGAAAGACACAGACACACATAGACTTCCACATGTAATCAGTCATGGTTAACACACACTTCTCTTTGTTAAAACGATCAGCAACACTGATATGCAAACAATCCGGACCGAGTCAATGCATAAAATGCAAAGTCTAGACTAGACTGAGACTGCCTTTGTACATTCACGAGAAACCTCAGATAAAAATTGTATAAGACCTAGATTAACTTCACTACTAGGCTGGATAAAATAATGTATGACTTTAAAATGGGTAGATTGTGATTGGTTAAATATGAATACACTGCATGATATTGATAAGTAGGCTACGGTTCTCACATAAGGTAATAACAGCTTGGGTATATCTTGTAATGGGTACACCTCAATTGATATGTCAACAAAGAGAAGTTGAAAAGGAGAAGGCCGAGCTACACTACATGACCAAAAGTATGTGGACACCTGCTCGAACATCTCATTCCAAAATCATGGGCATTAAAATGGAGTTGGTCCCCCCTTTGCTGCTATAACAGCCTCCACTCTTCTGGGAAGGCTTTCCACTAGATCCACATTCAGCCACAAGATCATTAGTGAAGTCGGGCATTGATGTTGGGCGATTATGCCTGGCTCGCAGTCGGCGTTCCAATTCATCCCAACGGTGTTCGATGGGGTTGAGGTCAGGGCTCTGTGCAGGCCAGTCAAGTTCTTCCACACCGATCTCAACCATTTTGGTATGGACCTCGCTTTGTGCACAGTGGCATTGTCATGCTGAAACATGAAAGGGCCTTCCCCAAACTGTTACCACGAAGTTGGGAGCACAGAATCGTCTAGAATGTCATTGTATGCTGTAGCGTTAAGATTTCCATTCACTGGAACTAAGAGGCCTAGTCCGAACAATGAAAAACAGCCCCAGACCATTATTCCTCCTCCACCAAACTTTACAGTTGGCACTATGCTTTGGGGCAGGTATCATTCTCCTGGCATCCGCCAAACCCAGATTTGTCCGTCGGACTGCCAGATGGTGAAGCGTGATTCATCACTCCTGAGAACGCGTTTCCACTGCTCCAGAGTCCAATGGTTGCGAGCTTTACACCACTCTAGCTGACGCTTGGCGTTGCGCATGGTTATTTTAGGCTTGTGTGCGGCTGCTCGGCCATGGAAACCCATTTCATGAAGCTCCCAACGAACAGTTATTGTGCTGACGTTGCTTCCAGAGGCAGTTTGGAACTCAGTAGTGAGTATTGCAACCGAGGACAGACGATTTCTTACACACTACGCGCTTCAGCACTCGCCGGTCCCGTTCTGTGAGCTTGGTGGCCTACCACTTTGCGGCTTAGCTGTTGTTGCTTCTAGACGTTACCACTTCACAATAACAGCACTTACAGTTGACCAGGGAAGCTCTAGCAAGGCAGAAATTTGACGAACTGACTTGTCGGAAAGGTGGCATCCTATGACGGTGCCACGTTGAAAGTCACTGAGCTCTTCAGTAAGGCCATTCTAGGCCAATGTTTGTCTATGGAGATTGCATGGCTGTGTGCTCGATTGTATACACCTGTCAGCAACAGTTGTGGCTGAAAAAGCTGAATCCACTAATTTGAAGGGGTGTCCACATACTTTTGTATATATAGTGTATCTTCTGATGGTCCATGGTTACCAGTAGCCTAACCTGCCTGCTTGACACTTACCTATGTTTATTGAGTACACTGACATAGGACTGCATACAGAAACAAAGAATACACAGAGGGCTAGAATGGGCTATGGGGAAAACATTAGAGCTCATCGCATGAGGGGAGTCCATCCATGGGGAAAGATGGGGTGAGGAGGGGAGGTTGAGGGGGGAGACGATTAGTAATGTTCAACATCATGTATGAATCACATGTGGGAGGGGTCTAGTGTCAGCCTGGGGCTTACAGTAGACAATAACAAAGAACACTGGATGCCGGACATCACATGTTATAAACATGTTATAGCCAACAATGACTAGTACTTTAAAAAATGTATATATATTATTTACTATCATGCCAACAAAATATTGGCATATAACAATTTGGCATTATGTTCAAATGCATCACACAAAACAATGTGAAACCATATATGAGAACTGTATGGCCATGACAATAGACTGATATTGATACTGCATTTGGTCATTAGAAACTAGGGGTGACAACACCTGTATCAGTCGTCCAACAATAACTCCTCCTGTGAGTATTCATTCTCTTTTCTCCTTATCTCCATTAGTTTACTGCCCCATCTCCCAAGTCGAGTATCGACCTGCCAGGAACGACGTGTCAGCTGACAGTGACACACATGCACGATAGGAGAGAAATAGAATTAAGCCAACTTGGACGAAAACAACAATAGAACCACGTTGTCAAATGCCATTGACATCTTACCTCCCACACATTTCTCTGGAGTCAACTAAAATTACAAACAAGGCTCAGGATGTCCAGCAAAATAACACTCCGCTGCGCTGTTAGTGAAGCGTTCTACTGCTCACTGTTGTTGCACACAAACCTGTTTGACATTTCTTGGAAGAAACAGAATAATACGCGGATACAATGTTTCCGTTTTCCACTATACTCTCTTCGGTTCTTCTCGACCTCTGGTTTATCCGTGACTGTTGACATTAATAAAATAGTGCTCGTCGTCCGCTCTTCATCTACCGAACCGCCGCCATGTTTGTCCGACTCACCCGGGGCTGTAGTGATGGGTCATTCGCGAACGAACGGCTCTTTTTGAACGGATATTTTTGGTGAACGTCGGGAGCCGAATACAATCGGTGAAAGATCCGTTAATTTGGCTCCGTGATTTGCATACTGCTACTACTGCTTTTTGAGCACAAAACAACGTTTTCTGCAGATAAGTTACAAAATTATTATAAAAAGAAGGTGAATCCTCACTGCAGATACCACAAGCTGATCTTTTGAGTGCCTAAAAAAAAACAGGCCATCCAGTGGTATAGTGGTGCCTGGAGAAGTAGGTATACTCAAATTTTTCCAAACGCAGCGCCCGGCGACGGAAAGGCACCTACATAGCCTACACTCTGAATGACCTAAAATGATAAATCCCATATTGGTCTTTCACAGTCAGGCCAACCCAAGCTGTACTGTGCAAGTAGGCTTATAGTATGACTACCATTGAAACAGATAAATGTATAAAAAAAAAAAAACACAGGTTTATCCTCATTTTTTCAGGTTTTCACTCTCACAGTCACACTTTTTGAACAGAAAGACAACACCCTTTTATGTTCTAAGTCAGTGTTTCCCAACCCTGGTCCTGGAGTACCCCCAACAGTTCAATGTTTTATTGTAACCCTGGACAAGCACATCTGATTCAACTTGTCAACTAATCATCAAGCCTTCAATGAGCTGAATGAGGTGTGGTTGTCCAGGGCTACAACAAAAATGTGTACTGTTGGGGGTACTCGAGGACCAGGGTTGGGAAACACTGTTCTAAGTCCACTTTTGAGGTCTGGAAAAAATATAAATTGTTTTGATTTTTTAGTGTAGTTACCCTTTAATTCAAGTGCGCAGTCACCTTGCACTGTTGTTTGGTTAGCAGTGTTTCTGTAGCATGAGTTGGAGTTTGCTAAATAAATGGCTACTGGATTGACACAAATAACTATGATATTCTGACAGGTAGGCATAGCCTACTTTGTAGCTACTGTAGTTAACATTTAATAGAGAAGGATTTTGGGAAAGGCCTATCATTAGCGTTGCTATATTTTTCTATTCCTTAATTGTTTGAAACCTGGACGTTTTACTTCATATTATCAGGCATGTCCTACCTTACTTAAAAGTAGCCTATAGCCAAAATCCCACCATAGAAACGTGGAGGCAATTATTTTTATAAAGATTTAGGCCTACTCATATGCTTTCTCCTGTCCTATTGATTTTCTTTCAAATTTCTTTCATGGTCTAGCAGCCAAATACATTATCCTAGTCATATTAGCAACCCATGATAGTTGTTGCATATTCAAATCCCCCCTCTTTCTACATTTCTAACGGATATTTCCATCTCTGTCCATGTAACCGCTCGCATGTGCGGTGCACATTTTAGAACGGCTTCTTTCCGCAAATTGCATTTCGGAACATTCACGCGAAGACCTGCCGTCGTCGGTACATTGCTGCGCCTAAAATGTAAAGAAATAATAGCCTATCAACATTCTAAGCTAAACATTCTGATCTGTTCCATCAGCCTTATTAATTGAAACGGCGTATACCTCCACTACACTAAATTGGTATGTATCAGTGGGGATTAAGAAATACGTTGGTATATGGCATATACCTGCGTATACCCTCCACTAAACCACTGAGGCCATTTAGTAAATTGGCCAGATAAAAATGTATTTGAACGCGCATTTCACGAGCTGTCATACTGGTAGCCTACCCTTTTGGCTTTACATTGGAGATTTGCAATTTGTTTTCATGGTTCTAGGTCCATCTTTAAGCATTTTACACGAAGAGCCGTTTGGTAGCGAAATGAGCCGGCTCTTATAAAAGAACGAAGCCAAATGAGCCGGCTCACCGAAAAGACTCGGAATGCCTATCACTAGTGGGCAGGTGGAGTCGACAGTCAACCGGGGAGGAGCATGGTTCTCTGTCGGTTGTCAGAAATCAAATCTATTTTTGACACGCCAAATCTCAACTGTGGTGTACCCTTTCATCAAAGCTATTTTATACACGGATACATTGTAATATTTTACAAATTGATGAATGTGTTACATTTTAATTCATTAATTAATAGTTCTTCATGGTCTGTAGCATATTTTTTCAAAAATATAAGTAAGATATGAGCTATTATTATTATTATTATAATTATTATTAGATGCATTAGAATATGGCCACTAGGGCCTTCAAAATGTGCCTTTCTCAATGTCCATTCTTCAGCATTATCATGTAGGCCTATGACGTTCAATTTACGTTTTTCCATTAGATGGACTGAGTAATAATTAGTGTAATTCGAAAAATTAAGTTGGGGTGGAAATAACACTGTCCAGATAATGACTTGAGTTAAATTCATAGGATCTGTTCAGGTTAAAACATAATGAGAAATACATGATTAACATGATGAGGTCAAGGTCAACTGTGCTCTTATTATTAATGCATTACCCTCTGAGGACAATGAAAACATTTTAGTCATCCCTTGAGTCATTTATTTATCAAAAGTTATTTTTTCCTATTAGTTGTTACATAGCCTATACAGGCCGAGTTAAGTCATACACACACAGAGACTCAAACAAGTCTCTCTCCCTCTCTCTCTCTCTCTCTCTCTCTCTCTCTCTCTCTCTCTCTCTCTCTCTCTCTCTCTCTCTCTCTCTCTCTCACACACAAACACATACACACACACACACACACACACACACACACACAAACAGCTCTGAAGTAATAGCTCCTGTCTTACCCTTTCCATCCCCCCTCCCTCCTACCATTGTTGTTCATACAGTCCTGTGTAGCTCAGTTGGTAGAGCATGGCGCTTGCAACGCCAGGGTTGTGGGTTCGATTCCCACGGGGGACCAGTATGAAAATGTATGCACTCACTAACTGTAAGTTGCTCTGGATAAGAGTGTCTGCTAAAATGACTAAAAAAAAAACATTTTTAAGAATGTAGCGTAGAACTATGGAAAGATGAACTCATATCAGTGTTTGAGGACACAGTAAGACTAACCAGACCATCCATACCTCTTATGCATGGTCACGTCTGATATGCCCTTTTCTTGTCCATCTCAATGTCCATTCCCCTCTACTAATCAGGTCACGTAATTAATACCAGTGTAATAATGGCTTGATTGGACTTAATTGGTGGTTTTGAGGCCCTGTCACAGCCTAAGAGAAAGAGCAAGAGGTATAAAAGGTACCTTTTCATGGCAAGGACCATAAACAAAGACGATCAACCATCGACAAATTTGCAGATCATCATCACCAAAGCCTCAACTTCAACACAGTGAGTGTGTCATTTTGTGTCTCAAACGGTATGTATTTTCTCTGACAATCTTTTAAATCGATTTTATCTTTAAAAACATAATTGCAGGAAATGTTTTTGTAACAGACGTTTGCAAAAACTATTGCAAAAATAGACTATGATTCATCTTACTATCTTATATCTATCCTGAGACGAGACGCATCCACTTTTGACAAACTTAAATCTATTTTTTTTATTCTTTCTCAGTGGCAATGTCTGGCGCCCCAGTGTCCGCCCTCTGTCTGCTGTTCCTGCTATCTGTGTGCACTGCCTGCTACATCTCCAACTGCCCCATAGGAGGCAAGAGATCAGCACTAGACTTCCCATCCAGAAAGGTACCCAGTCATTCTCAGCAGTTCCACTTTGTTACTGTTTATTGTAACTGTGTGTCTGTTATAGAGTTAGATTGGTGGCTGCCTGCCATAGAGGCTTGCCTCTTAGCTTCGAAGGGTTGGGATTGCACATTTAAGTCAAAGGTTATTGTATGTCAATATTGTATATTGTATTTTACTGGGTTTTTTGTTAACCACAAAGCTTAAAACCACTTCCCTTTTCTATAAGTAAATCACTTTTATCTATAAAAACAATGTAACTTTATGTTTCCTATTATCTTTCCAGTGCATGTCGTGTGGCCCCGGGGACAGGGGCCGCTGCTTTGGCCCCAGTATCTGCTGTGGGGAGGGGATGGGCTGCTACGTGGGCTCCCCAGAGGCAGCTGGTTGTGTGGAGGAGAACTACCTGCCCTCTCCCTGTGAGGCCGGAGGAAGATTGTGTGGCTCTGAAGAGCGACGTTGTGCTGCGCCAGGGATTTGCTGTGACGTGGGTAAGACCAAGACTACTCTCCTGTGTTCCTGTATAGCAACTGTTTCTATCCATACTGAATGATTCTGCAAAATAGCAAAAAGCCTTGCATGCAGTAGGGTTTGTTTTTCTATTTATTGCTCGTTGTGGCAATTTCAATAGACCATTTAATTGTTAATAGCATGTGCCAAGCTCTTGTGGTATTGAATACATTCTTATTGTCAGCTAGCTAACTATTTGTTCCAAGATCACTTATTAAGAGTTCAGGAATAAATGTGGTGTTGTATAGCCATTGGCCAAAGTCAATGGTAAAACTGTACAAATTAACTGTATTGCTTGTGAGTTCACCTGGATTCAGTTTGATATTGTAGGTTACAGTTGTGTGACAGATTGTCTATTTGTACCTTTTCTCTTTTAGAGGGTTGTAGTATTGACCAATCCTGTTTTGAGGACGAAGCTGCCGAATACATAAGCCAATCAGAGAGCAGTAGCCATGACAACGATCTGCTGATGAAGCTACTGCACATGATTAGCCACACCCCTCCCCACAGAGTCCACCAATAAAACAGCCTCTAGGGGTTTTCAGGGACAGTCCTGAGTTGAAGGACAGTGTAAAGAAATCTGTAACATCTTTCAATGTCAGAGGCATACCTGCAGTATGTACATACATTTTCTATAGCAGATAGATATAGACGTAAAATCTGAGTTTTTGCTTGTAACTGCTTGTGTAATGGCTTGTGCTCTGAGACAAATAAAGCTTACTGTACAAAAACATAACTGTCTAGTTAGTCACTGTTGCATGTTTAAAGTCAACTCGGGTCTCAAGTATTTCCAATACCAAAACACACACACACACACTAAAACTCACCACGAGATGCTGCTGAAATATGTAAACATTATGGATGAGTTTTTGTGTTTATGTGTGTACTGTATATGTGTCTTACCTTACGATGCGTAAACAGAGCAGGAACAGAGCTGAGTCATACAACCTCTGACATCATCTTTATGAGACCAAAGTCCCTCTCAGCTGCCTGAGAGTACAATAGGTCAGGGGTGCTGGCTGTAAAATGTCTTATCCATAGATGTACAATACAAACCAACAGCTTGTTAATCAATTGTGAGAGAAACCCATGTGACCCATATAAACCTATGGCCCTAAGTCTTCTGAATTGAATGCTAAAGCCTATGGTACACAGGCAATTTCTTAAGGCAATATTGACAGGCATCGTGCACACCACGACACTGTCTCTCTTACATGTAGTGATGGGAATAAAAACCGAATCATAGCTCAGTTCTAATCATATACTGTAATTACTCCTGCACACATGATTGCCTCTGCAACTTTTATTGTCAACATTTATGGTCAGGCAATAAACTGTCCAGAGGTTCGATTGCAAAACACACCATTTGACAATTACACCATTTGATCTGAATTCTGATCAAATGTATACAATAAACAATCTTCTTTTATTGTAACAATATATGATCATATAAAACTGCTCTCTTCAAGACAGTAAATAACAAATCTAACTGTGGGCATATTATTGCTGGTATTAGCAGTAAGTGGCCTATTATCCACTTTATAAAACAATCTGATTGGTTAATAAATGTTAGTTATTTCTGATAATACATGGCAAATGCCTGTTAACAGTTCCATCTGAGTTATCACTGCGCATCCATAAGCCTCATTTCTTAAATAACTAGTTACACTCCACAGTTGAGTAGTAGGCCACTCCACGTTGCCTGGCTGAGCCTATAGCCTGGATGTGTTGCTTCAGCCTGCCCTCCCAGTCCTTGTCCCAGTCCTGGCCCCGCTCCAGGGCCAGGTAGCGAGTGGACATCTTGTCCAGGGCCCGCAATGCCTCAGGGAGATCAAGGGTCAGCCCCGCCTTCTGCACCGCCGCCTGGAACTTGGCTGGAGAGGCTGTTGCTATGCAACACCTAGACAGGGGAATGGGTGTAAAATTGTGAGCTAGCCAGCGGTATTCGGTATGCAGCCATGATGCATTATGTAAATTATTGAACCTGCAACTAAGAAATGTGTTTATTCTGTAAAATACTAAAAGTGTGTGTGTGTGTGTGTGTCTGTGTCTCTTACCTGTTGACCCCTGCAGTGGGGGGACAGTTGTAGTGATGCCACACAGCCACTGCAGTGTGGGGACATAGTAGATACTGGTTCTCCTTCCAGCATCTCTGCATGGTCTCCACTATCCCCTCATCGCTTACTGCACCTGCTGTGAGGACCTGAGACAACTGGAGACAGAGAGAGGAGGGGAGGAGTAGTATTAGTAGTATTTATTAGGATCCCCAATTAGCTGCTGCCGAGGCAGCGGCTACTCTTCCTGCGGTCCAAACAAATATCACAACAACATATAAAATACATATTATCCACTGTATAATATGTATTTTAGTGTACAAAACATTAAAAACACCTTCCTAATATTGAGTTACACCCCCCACCCTCCTTTTGCCGTCAGAACAGCCTCAATTCATCGGGGAAGGTGTCAAAAGCGTTCCACAGGGATGCTGGCCCATGTTGACTCCAATGCTTCCCACAGTTGTGTCAAGCTGGCTGGATGTCCTTTGGGTGGTGGACCATTCTTGATACACACGGGAAACTGTTGAGCGTGAAAAACCCAGCAGCGTTGCAGTTATTGACTACCATTCCCCGTTCAAAGGCACTTAAATATTTTGTCTTGCCCATTCACCCTCTGAATGGCACACATACACAATGAATGTGTCAATTGTCTCAAGGCTTAAAAATCCTTCCTTAACCTGTCTCCTCCCCTTCATCTACACTGATTGAAGTGGATTTAACAAGTAACGTCAATAAGGGATCATAGCTTTCACCTGGATTCACCTGGTCAGTCTATGTCATGGAAAGAGCAGGTGTTCTTAATGTTTTGTACACTCAGCACTACATTTACATCCCAATTTAGTCATTTAGCAGATGTTCCCATCCAGAGCAACCCACAGCTAGTGCATTCATCTCAAGATAGCCAGGCGAGACAACCACGCATCACATATCAACGCAAAATACAATACAAAATACATAAATGTCTGTGTTTCACTTCACAGTCCCCGTCGTGCCGTAAGGTGTTCTTTTATCCGTTTTTTCCCCAGATTTTATTGCTAGCTTGAGTTACCTGGGGTGGCAGAGAGTTCCATGTAGTCATGGCCCTATTTAATACTGTGCGTTTCCCAGCGTCTGTTCTGGACCTGGGGACTGTGAAGAGACCTCTGGTTACATATCTTGTGTGGTACCGATGAGTGTCCGAACTGTGTGCCAACTGCTTGAACATGTCATGGTTCCACCTGTCACCAGAGGGTGACAGAGACCATCCTAGAGACCATTATAACACTAAAATGTTTTCTATTTTCTAATTATGTGTTCCGCATTAAGAGAAGTGGGTTTTCTGTTTCCCTTTGCAGTAGCTTGATTCGTTTGTCATGTGTGTTTGCCTCCTGAGTAAGTTCTCTAGTCCTAGTGTTTGTTGTTTTCTCAGCGTTACTGTAATCCTGCTGTTACCTATTCTCAGTAAAGTGTTTACTTTTACCACTGATTCCTTGTTTGGTTTATTCTCTGCTCCTGGGTCCAATCTCATCATGTCACAGCAAGCTACTGCCCCCAACATGGACCCAGCAGAGATCACCCTCATCAAGAATGTTATAACCCACCAAGGAGCACTGTTGGGACGGCAGCAAGAACAACCTCCCAAATGAAGAGGGCACGACAAAGCCTATTCCCCCTCAGGAGACTAAAAAGATTTGGCATGGGTCCTCAGATCCTCAAAAAATTCTACAGCTGCACCATCGAGAGCATCCTGACTGGTTGCATCACCGCCTGGTATGGCAACTGCTTGGCCTCTGACCGCAAGGCACTACAGAGGGTAGTGCGTACGGCCCAGTACATCACTGGGGCAAAGCTCCCTGCCATCCAGGACCTCTATACCAGGCGGTGTCAGAGGAAGGCCCTCAAAATTGTCAAAGACTCCAGTCACCCTAGTCATAGACTGTTCTCTCTGCTACCGCACGGCAAGCGGTACCGGAGTGCCAAGTCTAGGTCCAAAAGACTTCTCAACAGCTTCTACCCCCAAGCCATAAGACTCCTGAACAGCTAATCATGGCTACCCGGACTATTTGCACTGCCCCCCCACCCCATCCTTTTTACGCTGCTGCTACTCTGTTAAGTATTTATGCATAGTCACTTTAACTCTACCCACATGTACATATTACCTCAACTACCTCAACTAGCCGGTGCCCCCGCACATTGACTATGCAACGGTACCCCCCTGTATATATAGCCTCCCTACTGTCACTTTATTCTATTGTATATATAGCCTCCCTACTGTCACTTTATTTTTTACTTCTGCTCTTTTTTTCTCAACACTTTTTTGTTGTTGTTTTATTCTTACTTTTTTGTTTAAAATAAATGCACTGTTGGTTAAGGGCTGTAAGTAAGCATTTCACTGTAATGTCTGCACCTGTTGTATTCGGCGCATGTGACCAATAAAATTTGATTTGATTTGATTTGATTTGATTTTGATATCTGAGACCCTTCGGGCACATACCGATTCCCTCCTACCACGGCCCAACCCCAACCCAGGAGGAGCCAATGGCCAAGTCTCATCGCCCAGTACTACAGGTGTCGCCATAGTTCCTCCAGGGAACCTGCACCGGGAACCCAAGATCCCTGCCCCCGAGCGGTACGACGGGTGGCCCAACATGACTGGTGGCCCAACATGACTGAGGATGTGAGGTCCTTCGTGACGGCCTGCTCCACCTGTGCCCAAAGTAAATCTTCACGACTGGCTGGATTGCTCCAACCTCTGCCCATCCCCAGCCGGCCCTGGTCCCACCTGTCTGTAGACTTTATCACATGGTTACCTCCTTCCCAAGGGCTGACCACTATACTGGTGGTCGTAGATCGGTTCTCCAAAGCAGCCCATTTCATTGCTTTGCCCAAGTTGCCCTCAGCGAGGGAGACCGCTAATCTCTTGATTACTAATCTCTTGATGTCTTTCGAATACACAGACTTCCCCAGGACATTGTCTCGGATTGTGGGCCCCAGTTCGTGGCGCAGTATTGGAAAGCTTTCTGCACCCTGTTGGGGGCGTCAGTGAGTCTCTCCTCGGGTTCCACCCACAGTCGAATGTGCAGACTGAGCGGGTCAACCAGGAGCTGGAAAAGTTCCTCCGCTGTTTTGTCTCTTCTCAGGTCGTCAACTGGAGCAAGTTCCTCGTCTGGGCGGAGTATACTCACAACACACTGCCGAACTCATCCACTGGACTGTCACCGTTTGAGTGTCAGTTCGGGTTTGCCCCCCCCCAACTCTGTGGTGGTCGCCCTGGCTCCGCGGCTGGAGCGGCTTCTAGAAGGGGGGGTACTGTCATGGTTCTACCTGTCACCAGAGGGTGACAGAGACCATCCTAGAGACTATTATGACACTCAGGTATTTTCTATTTTCTAATTATGAGTTCCCCTTTAAGAGAGGTGGGTTTTCTGTTTCCCTTTGCAGTAGCTTGATTCGTTTGTCATGTGTGTTTGCCTCCTGAGTATGTTCTCTAGTCCTAGTGTTTGTTGTTTTCTCAGCGTTACTGTAATCCTGCTGTTCCCTATGCTCAGTAAAGTATTTATGTTTACTTTTACCACTGATTCCTCGTTTGGTCTATTCTCTGCTCCTGGGTCCAACCTCATCATGTCACAGAACAGACAGTTCGGTACCTTCAACACATCAACACCTGGCACAAAGACCAATAGTGATGCAGTCAATCTCTCCTCAACTTTCAGCAAGGAGAAATTGACATGGATGTTATTGACATTCGCCCTCCGTGTACATCTAAGTGCAATACGTGCTGCTCTGTTCTGGACCAACTTCAATTTGCCTATGTCGTTCTTTGCCGCACCTGACCACACAACTGGGCAGTAGTCCAGGTGCGACAAAACTAAGGCCTGTAGGACCTGTCTAGTTGACTGAGATGTCAAGAGGAGGGGGGATAAGGATATGTGGTGTGTGGTGATTTGAGAGAAAACATTAAACAACCAACGGTACTGGGCACTTATCTTTCTACAAGAACATGTCAATTATGTATTCATGCGTCTGACCTGTTTGTGGAGAGCTTCAGGCAGAGTGTGTCTGTGAGAGTGCTGAAACTCCTCCATCATGCCCTTTACCAGTGCTCCATCTCTACCAGACAGCAGCCAGAACACACGCTCCATGTTATAGGGGTCCTGGGGTGAGAGCACAGTGTTAGCCACAGTACACACACACACTTCTTAAACCTTAAACAAAGTGGCGAGCCATCGCGCACCTGAATGTCTATAGCCGGGGCCATGGTCTGCGTGACATTGGTTGCCATGGAAAAGTCACCGGTCTGCACCGTCCTGTGCACTATGTCATTAGCGTTCGTCATGGCAACGAGGCACAGCGGTATCCCCATCTGCTTCACAATGCAGCCGGCTGAGAGAGGGAACAGAGAGACGGACAAAGAATGAAGAGAGGAGAGAAAAAAGGAAAAACAGAGAAAAACATGAGCTATGTTCCAATACTCTCAAACGGCTTAGTTTATTTTCCTCTTTGAGCAAAAAAATATTGAAGAAATATCAATATATTTCTAATAAAAAATATATATAAAAAAAGGGGCACTAATGGGAAAAAGTTGTAGAAACACTGTGGCATGGTAATATTTCTCACCGGCGATATTCCCCGCCCCCCCTGTGGGCACTACCATCTCCAAGATGGGTAGGGGTGCCCCCGTCTCTGCCTGCTCCAGCCCGCTCACATGCAGGTAGGCATAAAGGAAGTGTGCCAGCTGCACCATGACACGAGACCAGTTGACTGAGTTGAGACTCATCAGGCTGTGTTGTTTCACCAGCTCCTGGTCTGAAAACAGTCGACGGATGGGCACGTCGATGTCATCAGAACTGCCATCCGCTATAAGTGCAGGGGAGAAAGATGAGAATCGTGTTATCATACCAATGATACATTTACATTTTAGTAATTTAGCAGACACTCTTATCCAGAGCGACTTACAGTTAGTGAGTGCATACATTATTTTTTTCATACTGGCCCCCCGTGGGAATCAAACCCACAACCCTGGCATTGCAAACGCCATGCTCTACCAACTGAGCTACATCCCTGCCGGCCATTCCCTCCCCTACCCTGGACGACGCTGGGCCAATTGGTCTCCCGGTCGCGGCCGGCTACGACAGAGCCTGGATTCAAACCAGGATGTCTAGTGGCACAGCTAGCACTGCGATGCAGTGCCTTAGACCACTGCGCCACTCGGGAGGTGATACCATCTTATCACAGGTTAAGGTAAGATCATTATTATTGAAGGCTAAAACTCCTATATTTTCCCATGATATGGCTTGGACATTTCCATCATATTGCCATCATCTCTCACTATCAAAGAAGGGGCAAGGAAAGGAAGCCACTTTAGACTATTGCCCTCTCATACTATCTGGCCATCTCTCTAACCTGCAAACACATGGATGTTGTCCTCCAGGCAGGTGATCATCTGTTTCTCCTGCACAGCGGTTATGCGGCCCCGGGGGTACACCACTACAACGTCTACCCCACTAAGGCCTCTCGCACTTTGGATGGCTGAACCACCTGTGTCCCCGGACGTGCCTGGGAAGGTAGGCCGCAGCGTGGGAGAGGGAAGAGGATAGGAGGACATTATTAAGACACGTAAGATTGAATATACTGTACATAAACATAATAGACCTAGCATGTAACTAAACATGTAAACACACCAAATGATGCCCCAAGTGCCCCTTCTCACCCACGACTACAATGGCGCGGCGGCTTTCCTTGCGCAGGAAGTAGTCGAGGAAGCGCACGGTGCAAGGTCATGGCCAGGTCCTTGAAGGCCAGGGTCTCACCGTGGAAGAGTTCCAGCACACACAGCCCCCCCTTCATCCTGGCCAGGCTCACCACCCCCGGCACGGAGAACCCAGACAGGGCCGCACACACCAGGCCTGGGGGAAGGGATGGAGAGAGAGAGACAGGAGAGGGATGGGAGAGAGAGAGAAGAGAGGGGTGTGAAAGAGTGAGATTGAGTGAGATTGAGAGAGTGAAATGGGCAGAAGGATCACACAAAAGAGTGAGAGTGAAGGAGAAGGGATGAGGAAGGGACATGAACTGAGTTGCTTCATTTTGATATACACCCGGATGTGAAAAGACCCACATGTGCCAAACCCTCTTCACTTTACACCTAACTGTACCATATTTTCGAACCATCAATCAGTCCATCAACGTGTCACTCAGCTACCCAAACCCTCCAGGTCTCACCCTCCAGGTCTGCTCGAGGGATCAGCTCTGTAGGTATGAACTGGGAGCAGACCTCCGTCACTAGCTGGGGGTAGGACAGGGAGCTCCAGGACCTCAGGGTATCAGGGCTCAGGGTGGGGAGGGTCTCAGGCATGAACATCCCCCCGTCTGGAGCATATCCCGAGAACAAAACATCCTGAAAGTCCCAACCCTGAACACCGCCACGTGTGCTGCAGTACCGCATAACTGACACCTGTCAGTAGTCAAAACAGAGAGAAGTATGATGAAAAATAGTATGATGATAAGCCTTTGGGTTACATTCCCTTCATTGTTGTAGCAATTTTACAGAATAATTGACAATAAGGAGGCAAGGGCAGACATATCTATCTGGGAACATGGATCAACACTTCATAAGTGAGTACTGGACTATAATGTAATAACATTATTATAATGCATAACAGTCAGCCTACTGCAGTTGCAAAAACATGTGTTCATGTTAATTTTTTTCATTATGGGAGATGACATTATTAATTCATAGCATAATATATAAAAGAACTGTCAGCTTAAGTTTACAGTAAGCTACTGTTGAAAAAACATATTATAGCTTATTTATTTGGTATAAATTAAGGTTAGGTAAATTCAAAGCTGCTGAATATCGCATCTAGTCCATAAAATGTCAAATTAACGTTATTTACCGTCCGCTTGCTATAAGAAGAAATGGCTCCGAAGTAGCGTAGCGATTGCTTGGGGAACTGTATTGTTGCAACACCAGAGTTCGAATTTCGAAGTGAAGATCAATCTGGTGCCTAACGTTTCAAAATATCTACTCTAAAGCGTCACCTGCTGGTCATTACTGCAAAATGCATTCAAAAAGTTTAATGAGGGACACAACCACATTTTGATATTAACTGACAAATAAAATCAATCAATCAATCAATCCAAACTGTGCAGCAGCCATTTGATGAATGGAAAGAAATATATGTTACAAAACACCAAACAGTTTGATGACATTTGGAGATTGTCAAGCCAAGCCTTTGATATTGGGTAGGCCTACAAGGTAGGGAGGGATGTATTTTCTGTTTGTCGAGATTGACATATTCTATTTATTGTGGTGTTGAAAACGCAAACCATGATATTGAATTGAAACTTCGTTGCATATATTTTATATAATTATAAATATGGCATAAAAATGTTGAAAATCTGATTTCACCCTAGCTGATCATTGTCTGCAGACGGGTTTGATCCTAGTGTAGGGCTAGTGAAATAGGCAGGGAGAGTGAGCTCGTCGATGGTGGTCGGCGAACCCTCACGGTAGCCCTGCGCGGCATCGACTGTGGAACAAAAGCATGCGTTTATAAACACAGGGTCGACACAGTTATTGTTATTTGTGGTCGTAAACATTTTTTTGAATGTAATTATATGAGGGGGAAGGGTGTGCATTTTTATTTTTTACAGGTCATGGAACCGATATTAGCATTGTTTGTGCATAATGTTCAAAACACATTTAAGTAACTTTGTTCAGCTTCACAATAAATGTTTTGATACATTCGGATGATTTGGACTAGATGCACGAAAAATGCTAATATCGCTCAAATAACTTGAATGGGATTTGTGCCACAAATGCTAAAACATTTGGAAACAGTGCCAGGGAAACTAAACCAAAGCATGGATTGCTGTCATACTTTGTCCATAGACTGCTTACAGGGTAAGGAAACCAATGTGACTGAACTATTCCTTTAAGTATGTTGGTTTATAAGGCTGCGTTTAGACAGGCAGTCCAATTCTGATATTTTTCCACTAATAGGCCTTTTGACCAACCATATCATATATTTTCACATCAGAGCTTTTTCAGACCAATTAGTGAAAGAAAGATCAGAATTGGTCTGCCTGTCTAAACCAGCCTAATTCCCCCAGTCTGGTATATAAAGGTAGCAGGGTCTCTGTCACATTACCTTCTCTCTTTAATAATAATATGCCATTTAGCAGACTCTGATGAGATTGAGCAGAATGGAGACCACTCCAAGATGACCATAGTCATGGTCAACTCGTTCACAGTTGGCCAGGAGGCTGAGCTGGAGAGGATGACTGGAGAGAAGAACAAGGTGAGTTGGTCAACCAGACACTCCCACACGTACTTGGGGCCTCATGGGTGCACCTGCACATTGGTTAACTTTAGTGGTGTAAAGTACTTAAGTACAAATATTTTAAAGTACTACATAAGTAGTTTTTTGGGTATCTGTACTTTCCTTTACTATTTATAGTTTTGACTACTTTTACTTCACTACATTCCTAAAGAAAATAATGTTATTTTTACTCCATACATCTTCCCTGACAGTACTCGTTACATTTTGAATGCTTAGCAGGACAGGAAAATGGTCCAATTCACCACTTATCAAGAGAACATCCCTGGTCATCCCTACTGCCTCTGATCTGGCAGACTCACTAAACACAAATGCTTCATTTGTAAATTATGTCTGAGTGTTGGAGCATGCCCCTGGCTCTCCGTAAATAAATAAAAACAAGAAAATGGTGCCATCTGGTTTGCTTAATATAGGGAATTTGAAATTATTTTAATACTTTCAATACTTAAGTATATTTTAGCAATTACATTTACTTTTGATACTTAAGTATATTTAAAACCAAATACTTTTACTCAAGTAGTATTTTACTGGGTGACTTTTCCTTGAGTAATTTTCTATTAAGGTTTCTTTACTTTTACTCAAATATTACAATTGGGTACTCTTTCCACCACTGGTTAACTTGTACTTGAGTTGTAAATTACATGGATGCGCAATTCCAGTCCTGGAGGGCCAAAGTGTGCAGGCATTTGTTCCAGTTCAGCTTTTGCACCTGATAAAATGATTATCAGTTTCCTTAGTGCTGGAGCAGAAGTCTACACATGTAGCGATCAATGAACAGTTGCTCACGCAACTTCGGATGTGTTATTTATTTTAGCATGTTTCCATGATCCATTCTATGAGTTTCCATGATCCATTCTATGAGTGGTGCTAAACCTACTTATGACAAGCCGTAGTGTGCTAACTTGGTATTGTCTAGTTTGTTACTCTTGCATGGTATGTCATGCACTGACTACTCTACCCTTTCCCAGGCTATGGTGAATCTGGTTGGGAACACGCTAAACGTCTCACTGAAGGGCATTGAGTCAGTCACGGAACATCATCGTTGTGAGTATGTGGTTGGGGACTAGAATGGGTTTGAATTGGCAACAAGGGGTGGAATTTCTCTCCTTCAAATGTAACTGGGCTGTAAAACCTCATCTGTGTGCAGCCTTTCTCTTTCCAGACCATGACGCTTTGGCCCATCGGCTGCAAGAGGATAAGCAAGCGCATGTAGTGATCTCTCAAACCTTTTTGAATAAACCAAGAAAATGTATTGACTTCTGTGGTTTGTATATAAAGAGTTGATCCTTAGCTTTGATTGGTTGAGCTGCAATGTATAGCAAAACAGACTCCACACTATCCAGTGTTCACTTTTATTGCCTTTTACATTCAATATTTCACATGGTACTATGGCACATGGTTGGTGTACTGATTCAATGTTTACTAGCACAAAAAAGGTAAGACGTTCATAGGAACTTTGAGCCTTACAGCTGTAGGGGAGGGCCAGATAATGGGGGCAGATTTGGTGACCACTGCATTTCAATGGTATGAAAGTGGTGTGTACAGAAGCTCATTGCTTGTGGAAGCGGGCCTTGACGTTGTCCTCAACACTGACTGCCTCAGCCATCATGCCCATGGGCTTGTTCTGCAGGGCAGCCTCTCTCATGCTGTGGTAGACGCACTCATTCTGCTTGAAAATCTTCTGCTCCATCTCCGTCTGCATACGCATTGACTAGGAAACAAGGGGTCAGGAGTCAAAAGGTAGACTGGTCTGGTGTAATCTGGGAAATGCAGCTCGGGGTATTCAGTGAGGTAAAATTATAGATATGTAACAAATAGAGCTTACACTTCACTATTCTACCTGACAATCATATCTTCCTTCCACACATTTTCATTGAATGTTCTGTAACATTCTACCCTACTGAACAGGCCCCATGCTATCTTTTTCTAATGGCATAGGTTAATCAATCTAATGAGGCAGCCTGTAGTCTAGTGTACCTCCAAGTCCTTGGTGATAGGGTGGTTGGGTCCATGGGTGATCATGAGAATGGCGTAGGCCTTGCAGATCATGCCATGGCCCACCTCGATGAGCCCTGCGTGCCAGTGAGTCACGCCAGCCCGCATGGTGGCCATGCCCAACTGGGCGTTATTGGGGTGGTACAACTTCCTGCTCAGGGAGAAGGGATAGAAGAGGATTGGTGCAAAGGGAAGGGGATGAGAAGATAACATGTGTAGGATTAAGTAATTTGTACACTATACAGTACCAGTCAAAAGTTTGGACACACCTACTCATTCAATGGTTTTTCTTTATTTTTACTATTTTCTACATTGTAGAATAGTAAAGACATCAAAACTATGAAATAACACATATGGAATCATGTAGTAACCAAAAGAGTGTTAAACAAATCAAAATATATTTTTGCCTTGATGATAGCTTTGCACACTCTTGGCATTCTCTCAACCAGCTTCAAGAGGTAGTCACCTGGAATGCATTTCAATTAACAGGTGTGCCTTGTTAAAAGTTAATTTGTGGAATTTCTTTCCTTCTTAATGCGTTTGAGCCAATCAGTTGTGTTGTGATAAGATAGGGGTGGTATACAGAAGATAGCCCTATTTGGTAAAATACCAAATCCATATGGCAAGAACAGCTCAAATAAGCAAAGAGAAACGACAGTCCATCATTACTTTAAGACATGAAGGTCAGTCAATCCGGAAAATGTCAAGAACTTTGAAAGTTTCTTCAAGTGCAGTCGCAAAAACCATCAAGCACTATGATGAAACTGGCTCTCATGAGGACCGCCACAGGAAAGGAAGACCCAGAGTTCATTAGAGGATAAGTTCATTAGAGTTAACTGCACATCAGATTGCAGCCCAAACGCATCTCAACATCAACTGTTGAGAGGAGACAGCGTGAATCAGGCCTTCATGGTCGAATTGCTGCAAAAAAAAACACTACTACAGGACACCAATAACAAGAAGAGACTAGCTTGGACCAAGAAACACGAGCAATAGACATTAGACGGGTGGAAATCTGTCCTTTGGTCTGATGAGTCCAAATTTGAGATTGTTGGTTCCAAACGCTGTGTCTTTGTGAGACGTAGAGTAGGTGAACAGATGATCTCCGCATGTGTGGTTCCCACCGTGAAGCATGGAGGAGGAGGTTTGATGGTGTGGTGGTGATTTGCTGTAAAACACTGTCTGTGATTTATTTAGAATTCAAGGGACACTTAACCAACATGGCTACCACAGCATTCTGCAGCGATACGCCATCCTATCTGGTTTGAGCTTAGTGGGACTATAATTTGTTTTTCAACAGGACAATGACCCAAAACACACCTCCAGGCTGTGTAAGGGCTATTTGACCAAGGAGAGTGATCTGGTCATCTGAGTGCTGCATCAGATGACCTGGCCTCCACAATCCCCCAACCTCAACCCAATTGAGATGGTTTGGGATGAGTTGGACCGCAGAGTGAAGGAAAAGCAGCCAACAAGTGCTCAGCATATGTGGGAACTCCTTCAAGACTGTTGGAAAAGCATTCCTCATTAAGCTGGTTGAGAGAATGCCAAGAGTGTGCAAAGCTACTTTGAAGAATTTAAAATCTAAAATATATTTTGATTTGTTTAACACTTTTTTGGTTACTACATGATTCCATATGTGTTATTTCATGGTTTTGATGTCTTCACTATTATTCTACAATGTAGAAAATAGTAAAAATTAAGAAAAACCCTTGAGTAGGTGTGTCCAAACTTTTTTGATTGGTACTGTATATACAAAAGTATGTGGACACCCCTTCAAATTACTGGATTCAGCTATTTCAGCCACACCCGTTGCTGACAGGTGTATACAATCGAGCACACCGCCATGCAATCTCCAGAGACAAACACTGGTAGTAGAATGGCCTTACTGAAGAGCTCAGTGACTTTCAACGCGGTACCTACATAGGATGCCACCTTGCCAACAAGTCAGTTCATCAAATTTCTGCCCTGCTAGAGCTGCCCCAGTCAACTGTAAGTGCTGTTATTGTGAAGTGGAGACTTCTAGGAGCCACAACGGCTCAGCCACGAAGTGGTAGGCCACACAAGCTCACAGAACGGGACCGCCAAGGGCTGAAGCGCGTAGCGCACAAAAATCGTCTGTTCTCGGTTGCAACACTCACTATATATATATATTTTTTAAATTAATATGCCATTTAGCAGACGCTTTTATCCAAAGCGACTTACAGTCATGCGTGCATACATTTTTGTGTATGGGTGGTCCCGGGGATCAAACCCACTACCTTGGCGTTACAAGCGCCGTGCTCTACCAGCTGAGCTACAGAGGACCACTACCCAGTTCCAAACTGCCTCTGGAAGCAACTTCAGCACAAGAACTGTTCGTCAGGAGCGAGCAGCTGCCCACAAGCCTAAAATCACCATGCGCAATGCCAAACGTCGGATGGAGTGGTGTGAAGCTCGCCGCCATTGGACTCTGGAGCAGTGGAAACACGTTCTCTGGAGTGATGAATCACGCTTCACAATCTGGCAGTCCGACGGACGAATCTGGGTTTGGCGTATGCCAGGAGAATGCTACCTGCCCCAATACATAGTGCCAACTGTAAAGTTTGGTGGAGGAGGAATAATGGTCTGGGGCTGATGTTCATGGTTTGGGCTCCTTAGTTCCAGTGAAGGGAAATCTTAACGCTACAGCATACAATAACATTCTAGACGATTCTGTGCTTCCAAGTTTGTGACAACAGTTTGGGGAAGGCCCTTTCCTTTTTCAGCATGACAATGCCCCTGTGCACAAAGCGAGGTCCATACAGAAATGGTTTGCCGAGATCAGTGTGTAAGAACTTGACTGGCCTGCACAGAACCCTGACCTCAACCCCGTCGAACACCTTTGGGATGAATTGGAATGCCGACTGCGAGCTAGGCCTAATTGCCCAACATCAGTGCTCGACCTCACTAATGATCTTGTGGCTGAATGGAAGCAACATTTAGTGGAAAGCCTTCCCAGAAGAGTGGAGGCTGTTTTGGCAGCAAAGGGTGGACTAACTCCATATTAATGCCCATGATTTTTGAATGAGATGTTCAACGAGCATGCAGTGTATGTGGTTGTCCCATCTAGCTATCTTAAGATGAATGCACTAACTAAGTCGCTCTGGAGAAGAGTGTCTGCTAAATGACTAAAATGTAAATGTAGAAATGCGATTTTAATGCTGTAGTCATGCTAATTTTCGTTTGGTCCATTAGATTAGTCTCCACCACTGTCCCCATTACAAACACTCACATGTATCCCTCCACCATCCTGCGTGCGTATTCTGCAGCCTCAGAGAAGAACTGCAGGTAGGACAGCACCTCGCTGGCTGCACTCAGCACACGCAGTTGGTACAGGTGTGTATCAGCCAACACGGGCTCCTGTTTGTCCAGACACTCACGACACAGCTTCACCACCTGTGGAGGGAGAGGGAGGGATGGAGGGGTAATTTTGCGTGTTTAACAAAAGAGGGAGAGAGAATTACATTACTCGTCAAAAGTTTTAGAACACCTACTCATTCAAGGGTTTTTCTTTATTTTTACTATTTTCTACATTGTAGAGTAGTACTGAAGACATCAAAACTATGAAATAACACATATGGAATCATGTAGTAACCAAAAAAGTGTTAAACAAATCAAAATATAATTTATATTTGAGATTCTTCAAATAGCCACCCCTTGCCTTGATGACAGCTTTGCACACTCTTGACATTCTCTCAACCAGCTTCACCTGGAATGCTTTTCCAACAGTTTTGAAGGAGTTCCCACATATGCTGAGCACTTGTTGGCTGCTTTTCCTTCACTTTGCGGTCCTACTCATCCCAAACCATCTCAATTTGGTTGAGGTCGGGGGATTGTGGAGGCCAGGTCATCTGATGCAGCACTCCATCACTCTCCTTCTTGGTAAAATAGCCCTTACACAGCCTGGAGGTGTGTTGGGTCATTGTCCTGTTGAAAAACAAATTATAGTCCAACTAAGCGCAAACCAGATGGGATGGCGTATCGCTGCAGAATGCTGTGGTAGCCATGTTGGTTAAGTTTGCGTTGAATTCTAAATCAATCACAGACAGTGTCACCAGCAAAGCACCCCCACGCCATAACACCTCCTTCTACAAGCTTTATGGTGGGAAATACACATGCAGAGATAATCCGTTCACCCACACCGCGTCTCACAAAGACACAGCGTTTGGAACCAAAGGACAGATTTCCACCCGTCTAATGTCCATTGCTTGTGTTTCTTGGCCCAAGCAAGTCTCTTCTTCTTATTGGTATCATTTAGTAGTGGTTTATTTTCAGCAATCCCACCATGAAGGCCTGATTCACACATTCTCCTCTGAACAGTTGATGTTGAGATGTGTCTGTTACTTGAACTCTGTGAACCATTTATTTGGGCTGCAATTTCTGAGGCTGGTAACTCTAATGAACTTATCCTCTGCAGCAGCGGTAACTCTGGGTCTTCCATTCCTGTGGCGGTCCTCATGAGAGCCAGTTTCATCATAGCGCTTGATTGATTTTGCGACTGCACTTGAAGAAACTTTTAAAGTTCTTGAAATGTTCCGTATTGACTGACCTTCATGCCTTAAAGTAATGATGGACTGTCATTTCTCTTTGCTTATTTGAGCTGTTCTTGCCATAATTTGGACTTGGTCTTTTACCAAATAGGGCTATCAAAGCTGTCATCAAGGCAAAGGGTGGCTATTTGAAGAATCTCAAATATAAAATATACATTACCGTTCAAAAGTTTGGGGTCACTTAGACATTTCTTTGTTTTCGAAAGAAAAGCAAATGTTTTGTCCATTAAAATAACATCAAATTTAGCAGAAATACAGTGTAGACATAGTTAATGTTGTAAATGGCTATTGTAGCTGGAAACGACTGATTTTTTATGGAATATCTACATAGGCGTACAGAGGCCCATTATCAGCAACCATCAGTCCTGTGTTCCAATGGCACGTTGCGTTTGCTAATCCAAGTTCATCATTTTAAAAGGCTAATTTATCGTTAGAAAACCCTTTTGCAATTATGTTAGCACAGCTGAAAACTGTTGTGCTGATTAAAGAAGCAATTAAACTGGCCTTCTTGAGACTAATTGAGTATCTGGTGCATCAGCAATTGTGGGTTCGATTACAGGATCAAAATGGCCAGAAACAAATAACTTTCTTCTGAAACTCGTCAGTCTATTCTTGTTCTGAGAAATGGCTATTCCATGCGAGAAATTGCCAAGAAACTGAAGATCGCGTACAACGCTGTGTACTACTCCCTTCACAGAACAGCGCAAACTGACTCTAACCAGAATAGAAAGAGGAGTGGGAGGCCCCGGTGCACAACTGAGCAAGAGGACAAATACATTAGAGTGTCTAGTTTGAGAAACAGACGCCTCACAGGTCCTCAACTGGCAGTTTCATTAAATAGTACCCGCAAAACACCAGTCTCAACGTCAACAGTGAAGAGGCGACTCCGGGAGGCTGACCTTCTAGGCAGAGTTGCAAAGAAAAAGCCATATCTCAGACTGGCCAATAAAAATAAAATATTAAGATGGGCAGTCTGAGATATGGCCATTGGAACACAGGACGTGACATTGGAACACAGGACTGATGGTTGCTGATAATGGGCCTCTGTACGCCTATGTAGATATTCCATAAAAAATCAGCCGTTTCCAGCTACAATAGCCATTTACAACATTAACAATGTCTACACTGTATTTCTGATCAATTTGATGTTATTTTAATGGACAAAAATATTGCTTTTCTTTCAAAAAACAAGGACATTTCTAAGTGACCCCAAACTTTTGAACAGTAGTGTATTTTGATTTGTTTAAAACTTTTATGGTTGCTACATGATTCCATATGTGTTATTTCATAGTTTTGATGTCTTCAGTATTATTCTACAATGTAGAAAATTGTAAAAATAAAGAAAAACCCTTGAATGAGTAGGTGTTCTAAAACTTTTGACCCATAGTATATTTGGGACAGTGAAAGGGAGTAATTTATCAACCTCCAATGCCATCCCTAAAGGTAAAGGAGGGAGTTGTTGTTTTTACCTCATGAAAGTCTCCTGCAGTGCGAGCCGCCTCAACCTTGGCCAGGCACTCCAAACTTAACTCCTGTACCTCTTTCACCAGCTCATCAGAGGGCTGAGAGAGATAATACAGTAAACACAACAGCGTCAGTGTATTAACATTAGGGAGAATGCACATTGCACATCCCACCATCATTCACTCCTGATCATTGACAGGAAAAGAAAGCACCTGGTGACCAAAATGCACTACTGCAGACAACCACAAGAGAGTGACATATCCCACAACTCTGAAAACTGTTCCTTTGAAGGAAATGTGTAAAGTATTTATGTTCCAGAGTCTCTTCTCACAGACACAGCAGCTGTGTGAGGAGACTATCGGTCCAGCAACTACAAAAATGGACTAGTGTAGGACACAGACTTATAATTTAGCTATGTGTTACACACCTTGTGACTTCATCGTAATTCGCTCCAAGTCAATTCCCATACATACAGTTGAAGTCGGAAGTTTACATACACTTAGGTTGGAATCATTAAAACCCGTTTTTCAACCACTCCACAGATTTCTTGTTAACAAACTATAGTTTTGGCAAGTCGGTTAGGAATTTTTCCAACAATTGTTTACAAACAGATTATTTCACTTATAATTCACTGTATCACAATTACAGTGGGTCAGAAGTTTACATACACTAAGTTGACTGGGCCTTTAAACAGCTTGGAAAATTCCAGAAAATGATGTCATGGCTTTAGAAGCTTCTGATAGGCTAATTGACATCATTTGAGTCAATTGGAGGTGTACCTGTGGATGTATTTCAAGGCCTATCTTCAAACTAAGTGCCTCTTTGCTTGACATCATGGGAAAATCAAAAGAAATCAGCCAAGACCTCAGAATAAATTTGTAGACCTCCACAAGCCTGGTTTATCCTTGGGAGCAATTTCCAAACGCCTGAAGGTACCACGTTCATCTGTACAAACAATACTACGCAAGTATAAACACTATGGGACCCCGCAGCCGTCATACCACACAGGAAGGAGACGCGTTCTGTCTCCTAGAGATGAACGTACTTTGGTGCAAAAAGTGCAAAACAATCCCAGAACAACAGAAAAGGACCTTGTGAAGATGCTGGAGGAAACAGGTACAAAATTATCTATATCCACAGTAAAACAAGTCCTATATCGACATAACCTGAAAGGCCGCTCAGCAAGGAAGAAGCCACTGCTCCAAAACCGCCATAAAAAAGCCAGACTACGGTTTGCAACTGCACATGGGGACAAAGATCGTACTTTTTGGAGAAATGTCCTCTGGTCTGATGAAACAAAAATAGAACTGTTTGGCCATAATGACCATCGTTATGTTTGTAGGAAAAAGGGGGGCGCTTGCAAGCCGAAGTCCTGACCTCAAGCCTATAGAACATTTTTGGCCAGAACTGAAAAAGCGTGTGCGAGCAAGGAGTCCTACAATCCAGACTCAGTTACACTAGCTCTGTCAGGAGGAATGGGCCAAAATTCACCCAACTTATTGTGGGAAGCTTGTGGAAGGCTACCCAAAACGTTTGACCCAAGTTAAACAATTTAAAGGCAATGCTACCAAATACTAGTTGAGTGTATGTGAACTTCTGACCCACTGGGAATGTGATGAAAAATATAAAAGCTGAAAGAAATCATTCTCTACTATTATTCTGACATTCACATTCTTAAAATAAATTGGTGATCCTAAATGACCTAAGACAGGGAATTTTTACTAGGATTAAATGTCAGGAATTGTGAAAAACATAGTTTAAATGTATTTGGCTAAAGTGTCTGTAAACTTCTGACTTCAACTGTAGATACTGACATATCACATATCCAGGTCCATGGCATTGACCCATGTCTAAAGATATGGTCATGCGCTGAGAGAGTTAGTCATATTATTTTGCGATGTCTCAGACAATCAATTGGAATTCAGCATCAGGTGACCATATCTCAGATGAAACCAGAATAACTTGATTTCATATCAACTGCTACATGTATTTTGTTCTATCTATGGTAGCTGATATTTAGGGTGGGGATCTCATGTGTGTCACGAGTAGAGTGAGAGTTGAGATCCATTAAGGGAGAGGGGAAGCATGGAACTTTACTGAACTGAAAAGTAACTAGGGTAAAGTGTTGTAGGCCCCTGGGCCCTCAGAGGTATGATCAGGTGTTTAATTTGTGCATTTAACAACATGCTTCTTTCTGATGCATCAGCTGAGAGATGTCTATCTGCGTGATAGGGTTATGTGCCCAACGTGAGTCTGGGTACGGCAGGGGGCCAAGGACCCAGGACCCCACTGTTTGGAATGGAATGAATTGACCTCAACTCTGCCCTCAACATGTCACTACCTCCCCCACCTTGTTGCCTTCGGTCTCCTTGGCAGCCATCATTAGGCCATCCTTGAGGTGCTCGCTGCAGCTTTTGCAGGTGCAGTCAAAGTGGTACTGGTGCTTCAGGGCTCTCTGGCGGTCCGTCGATACGTTCAGGAAGTCCACGTAGCCCACCGTCAGCTCCTCATTCTCAGCAATCTTACCCAACGCACGCAGCTCGATCCTGGGGGAGCAGGGTGGCATGGTTAGCCTAGTCCCAGAGTAACAGCTGCTCTAGGATCAGCTTGTGAGCTCTGCATGTCACATGCTGAAACAGAACAGGCCCTGGAGCAGTTGATAAGGGGGATGATATAGTGTGATGTGATGGTAGTAACCATAAGGGAGGGTAAAGCGGGTAGTGTAGTGTGTAGAGTAGCCCCTAGTAGGTCTCTGGACCTTTACAGCACAGGAGGTAAGGTGCTTTCCCTGTTAGGGCAGGGCTGCAAGTTCAAGCCCTGCTACGAATGTTCTCTCTCAATTGGTACAATAGCAAAAGGCCAGGAAAGTTATTGCAGTGACATAGTTGGCCAGGGGGATGACAGCATTTTTGTTTTTTTTGGAGATAGGAAACCTTTATTGACGAGTCCGCAATCATAAACATCACTGATTGGATAATCCTTGCAGCTTGAAGTTCAGAGAAAGTTATGTTGATCATTCAACATCTTCTTGGACTGTTGGCTCCTGATGAATAATAAATAAGCTTTGGAGAAACATCCATAGCCCAGCTGCAAGCTCAGAGTGGGGTTTTTAATTTCACTCAACTTAAAGCAACATTCTAACAAAGCAGTTTGGGGATTTTGCACTGACAGACAACCAAAGACACATCTCAGGCCATCATCACCAACATAACATGAATGTATTTTTAGACTTTTAGACGGTAATGTTTTTGTTTTTTTGCTCCAAAAAACAATTACCGTCTAAAAATACATTCATGTTATGATGTGATGTTTGAAGTAATCTTATCAGGTAGTTGACTGAAAAATGAGCTAAATCTAACAATAAACACACTTCACACAACAAAGCCTCAAGCAGAACAGCAACTCAGTCCTACTGAGAGCTAAACAAACCATGCTATAAGTTATAGTCGGACAGACCCAATTTGTTGAGTTTCGTAATATTCTGTTTTCCCCTCCTCAGTTATTCACTTTAGGGGTTATATTTGATAATACTTTTATGATAATGACTCATTTGATCTTGCTCAATGAGGAAATAGTCCTGTGGGCTATTGGTAAAGAAGGAAAAATAGGGAAATATAGGGGAAATCAAACTATTCAATGTTAGGATCAAGATTAGAATCCCTGACTGTCATTTGGTACTGTTGTCCTGTTGACTTCCTCACTATCGTCCAGTGATAGAGGGTTGAGGGTTAATAACAGGTGTTGAAGAGATCTTTGAGGATCGGATGCTCAAGGTTCAAAGGTTAGACGTTAGTTCAAAGCAGGCAGATAGACCCACCTCCTCTTAGAGTGGAAGGTTGCATTCAGAGCTGACTGACTGGAAGAGATGGCAGTCAAAGAGTTTACAAATCACGTACAAAAGTTGTATCTCTCTCTCGCTCTCGCTCTCCCTCTCTTGGGGGATACATACTTGCCATGGTTGAAAATGACAGTACAGTTGGGCCAGCAGTCATGGTTGACCAGACACAGGTTAGGGAACAGACCCACTCCCACCGCCTGCAGACCCCTCTGGTCACTCAGAGTAAAACCATTACAGTTGATCTACACATGGATGGAGAGAAGGGGGGATGGAGACAGAGAAAAATAAAGAGAGGGGGAGAGACAGATGGAATGAGAATAACAGAAACAAAGTGGAGGAAGACAGAGAGAGAGAAGAATAAAGAGAGGGAAAGACAGAAAGACAGATGTTAATGACAGTACCTCACAGTCCAGAGAGGAACACACATACTATTGTCAAAATAGATCAACCAGTGATCTTGTATATATTGTGCCAAAGTTTGAGATATCTGGATGGTAAGATGACTAACTCAGTGATACATACTATGCCGAAGATGTGTGAGATGTACTCCACACCATGCCTAGTGTTGGGACAGTAGTCCAGGAAGTTGTGCACATCGATCTTGAGCTCTTTGAGGTTGTCGGCGGGCATGTCGGCCACGTGGTCCTCCAGCTTGTCCACTGAGGTCAGCTGGCTGTCCGACACAATGCCTGTGTCCTTCTGTATGCGCCACAGCACACGGGCAGCAAGACTGGAGAGGGACAGGGATAGTTAGCATTAGCATTATAGTTTTATATGAGTGGTTGACGTAGCCTGGGCGATAGTCTGTTTCTGTTTTATGCAACTTGGCAAGGCATTGACATCAACCCACCTTCCCCTGTCCATCCATTTTCCTCTCTCCTCTAGCTCTCTTTCCTTCTCCTCTATCATTCTCCCTCCTCCTCTTTCTCCTATCTCCTTCTTACCGGACATTCTCATTGGGGGCCTTTCCGTTCTTCTTGATGGCACCACACTCCTGCTTGTGCTCGTCCCAGCATGCAGTCTGGCAGGTGCGGTCGCAGTAGTGGGCAAACTTACACTGGGCGCAGCGGTGGAGGTTGGCCTGGCGACGGAAGCAGCTGTGACACGCCTGCTGAGACAGACTGGGAAAAGTGGGGAGGAGGTCAAGGGTTAGAGGTCATGATTTCTTATGGGGTTCTGGGGTTTACCAGCCCCCTGGAACTATTGAAAATCAAACCCTGCTGCACTCTCATCCTCCCTTCTGTCCTTGGTAACTATCAGATTTAGTGGAAACCTGTTACCATAAAACCTAAAATGGCAGGGATAGCAGGCCCACACACATGGTCCCTAGAGAAATCAGTCCGAAGTACAACATAGGCCCTGTGGGAATTGAAGTTCCAAACTGTCCTGGGAACATAGCCTATACACTGAGTATACAAAACATTTAGAACAACTGCTCTTTCCATGACAGACTGACCAGTTGAATCCAGGTGAAAGCTATGATCCCTAATTGATGTTACTTGTTAAATCCACTTCAAATCAGTGTAGATGAAGGGGAGGAGACTAACACGACTCAGGATATGGCCCAGATGCAGACACAGGAGACGGAAGGTTCAATACACAGAGTAGTTGATTAAACCACAGGAGGCAGGCAAAGGGCAGGTCGAGGACAGGCAGAGGTTCATAACTAGGTCCGAGTCCGACATGTACAGGGCGGCAGGCAGGCTCAGGGTCAGCGCAGACAGAAGTTCGTAAACCAGGTCAGAGTCAGATAGGTAAAGGACGGAAGGCAAGCTCGGGGTCAGGGCAGGCAGAATGGCATGGCAGGCGGGCTCAGAGTCAGGGCAGGCAGAAATGGTCGGAACCCGGGAGGACTAGAAAACAGGAACTAGAGCAACAGGAGTATGGAAAAAACACGCTGGTAGGCTTGGCGAGACAAGACAAACTGGCAACAGACAAACAGAAAACGCAGGTATAAATACACAGGGGATAATGGGGGAAGATTGGAGACACCTGGCTGTGAGACAGACGTTTAATCCTAGACACATGAAAAGTGGGATGTATACGGAGGGTGCGGGGCAACAGAAGACGAACAGCAGAGGATTTTAGAGATGGGGAAAGGGCAGATGAAACGGGGGGAAAGTTTACGGGACTCCATCCGGAGGGGCAGGTCCCGAGTGGAAAGCCATACCCTCTGCCCGAGCCGATAGCGGGGAGCAGAGGTTCGTGGCGATCCACCTGTTGCCGATACCTGGATGTGGTCTTCAGAAGAGCGGCCCGGTCTTTCTTCCAGGTACGGCGACAGCGGCGGATGAACATCTGGGCAGAGGGTATGCTGACTTCTCTTGCTCAGGGAAGAGCGGGGGCTGATATCCCAAGGAACACTCGAAGGGCGAGAGGCCAGTGGCCGAGCAGGGAAGGGTGTTACAGGCGTATTCCACCCACACGAGTTGCTGGCTCCAGGTGGTGGGGTTGGCGGAGACGAGGCAACAAAGAGCCGTCTCCAGGTCCTGATTGGCTCGCTCCGACTGGCCGTTAGATTGGGGATGAAAACCAAGGACAGGCTGGCCGACAACCCAATGAGGGTGCAGAATTCCTTCCAGAACCGGGACGAGAACTGAGGACCACGATCAGAGACCATGTCGACCGGAAATCCATGGATCTGGAAGGCGTGCTGCACCATGAGCTGAGCCGTCTCCTTGGCTGAGGGTAACTTGTGAAGGGGAATAAAATGGGCGGCTTTAGAAAACCTATCCACCACAGTCAGGATAGTGGTGTTGCCATCTGACAGAGGAAGACCAGTAACAAAGTCCAGGGATATATGGGACCAGGGGCTGTGAGGAACAGGGAGTGGTTGAAGAAGGCCAGCCGGAGCTTGCCGCCAAGTCTTATTTTGTGCACACACAGTGCAGGCGGCGACAAATGCGGAGACATCGGGAACCATGGAAGGCCACCAAAAGCGTTGTCGGATGAAAGCCAGGGTCCAACGGGAGCCTGGATGGCAGGTCAGTCTCGAGGAATGGGCAGAGTCCGGGACAAACATCCAGTTAGCCAGGCTCTCTATACCCCAGACGAGTGCAGCCACAAGACAGGAGGTAGGGAGAATAGTCTCGGGGTCAGACGGAGTAGCAGCGGGGCTATACAAACATGAGAGTGCGTCAGGCTTCACATTCTTGGACCCCGGGCAGTAGGAGAGAGTGAAATGGAAACGGGTGAATAACAGGGCCCAACGAGCCTGCCTAGAGTTGAGGCGCTTGGCGGTGCGGAGATATTCCAGGTTCTTATGTTCAGTCCACACTAAGAATGGGTGTTCCGCCCCCTCCAACCAGTGCCTCCACTCCCCCAACGCCATCTTGACAGTGAGGAGTTCTTGATTTCCCACATCATAGTTCCTCTCAGCAGGGGTAAGACGATGGGAGAGGAAAGCGCAGGGGTGCAGCTTTTGGTCCTGGACAGAACGCTGGGACAGGACGGCCCCCACTCCGACATCCGAGGCGTCGACTTCCACCACAAACTGATGGGACGAGTCCGGGTGGATTAAGATGGGTGCTGTAGTGAATCGATGTTTGAGGTCCGAGAACGACCAGTCAGCTGCTGGAGACCACATGAATGAACCTTGGGAGAGGTGAGTGCTGAGAGGGGGGAAGCCAGGGTGCTGTAACCCCGGATGAAGCGGCGGTAGAAGTCAGCAAATCCCAGGAAATGTTGCAGCTGCACACAGGATGTGGGTTGAGACCAATCCACCACCGCTCTCACCTTGTCTGGATCCATCTGTATGTGTCCTGCAGCCATGACGTATCCTAGGAAGGAGATGGTGGAGCGATGGAATTCACACTTCTACGCTTTAAAGAAAAGCTGGTTCTCCAGGAGACGCTGAAGGACCTGTCGGACGCGGAGGATGTGCTCTTGAGCTGAACAGGAAAATACAAGGATGTCGTTGAGGAAGACAAACATGAACCGGTTCAGCATGTCCCGGAGCACATCGTTGACCAGGGCCTGGAACACAGCGGGAGCGTTCGTCAGTCCGAATGGCATAACCAAGTACTCATTGTGCCCGCTAGCCATGTGAAAGGTTGTCTTCTACTCGTCTCCTTCCCGTATCCGAACCAGATGGTAGGCGTTCCGAAGGTCCAACTTTGAGAAGATGGTCGCTCCCTGAAGAGGGATGTCATTAAGGCCCCGGTAGTCGATACACGGATGCAGGGTTTTGTACTTCTTCTCCACAAAGAAGAACCCTGCGGCGGGGGAGGCAGATGGACGAATACTCCCTGCAGTGAGAGAGTCCTCAATGTACTCCTCCATGGCCTTGGTTTCCGGACCCGACAGGGAGTAAATCCGCCCCAGAGGTGGTGTAGTGCCCGGGAGAAGGTCAATGACGCAGTCGTAGGGTTGATGCGGAGGGAGAGACGTAGCACGGGCCTTGTTGAAGACCTCCCGGAGGTCCAGGTACTCCACGAGAATGGAAGAGAGATCTGAGGCTTCTCCCAAGCCTGCAGGAAGATGTCCCGGGGCAGGCTGTGTCGACTTAAGATAAGCACATGGCAGAACAGGCTCCAACCCACGATAGAACCAGTAGCCCAGTCGATCAAGGGATTGTGCTTCTGGAGCCATGCATACCCCGAAACCACGGGTACATGGGGAGATTCTATGAGCAGGAACTGCATACACTCACTGTGATTTCCTGATACTCGTAGGTTGATAGGAACCGTATTGCTCTGCTCTCGTCGGCCCCAGAGTCAATGAGCACCCAGAGAGATTTGGCCTGGTCACCCCACAACAGGTTGGCATGGAGAGGGGTACGAGTAATGTGAGATTGGAAAATTCCCGTACTGCTTTTTAATGGACATGTGGAAATAACATGTCCTGTAGTCCTGCAATACAGACAGCTCCTGGTGCTCAATCTGCGTAAACATTCATCCGGAGACAATCCATCCCTTCCCAGTAGCTTGGGCTCTGGAGGAGGCGAGTCGATCGCCCTCGGTGAGTCCCGTGGGCACTCGGATGACATCGGATTCTCTCGGTAACGTGGACGTCGGGAACTTCCGGGATTCCTCTGAGGCGAGGTGGGAGCAGTGGACGAGCGAGTGTGACCGGGAACAGACCTCCTCTCCCTCTCTCGGAGAATCGAACACCTTCCTAACCTCCGCCACGAACTTGTCCAGACTGAGGCAAACTGTGGATTGTTACTCCCACAACGCTGTCGCCCAGGCAAGAGCCCTCTCGGACATCAGCGTTATAAGATACGCTATCTTTGAGCGATCCGAGGGAAACGAAGAGGGCTGCAGCTCGAAGATGAGGGAGCACTGGGAGAGAAACGCTCGGCAGGTTCCTGGCTCTCCAGTGTAGTGCTCTGGAGGAGGTAAGTGGAGTTCTCAGGAAGCCGGGATAGGCTGGGGAGAAGCGCCTCTGGTAGCGAGGTTACTGGGAGTCTGGGGGGTTACCATAGAGGCTTGCTGCCTAGTAGAATATCCGCGGAATAGCTCCAGCAATGCATTGAAAGTGCGGTCGTGGCGTTCTGCCGAGTTCTGGAGTCCTCCAATAAGGTTTTGAAGTAACTCCTCGTGTCTTCCAATGGTGGCTCCTTGGGAGGAGACAGCGTTGTGGAGCTGGTCCGAGTCTGCTGTGTCAGTCATGGCCAGTTTGTACTAACACGACTCAGGATATAACCCAGATGCAGACACAGGAGACAGAAGGCTCAATACACAGAGTAGTTTATTAAACCACAGGAGGCAGGCAAAGGGCAGGTCGAGGCCAGGCAGAGGTTCGTAACCAGGTTCGAGTCCGACAGGTACAGGGCGGAAGGCAGGCTCAGGGTCAGGGCACGCAGTAGTTCGTAAACCAGGTCAGAGTCAGATAGGTACAGGACGGCAGGCAAGCTCGGGGTCAGGGCAGGCAGAATGGTATGGCAGGCGGGCTCAGGGTCAGGGCAGGAAGAAATGGTCGGAGCCGGGACGACTGGAAAACAGGGACTAGAGCAACAGGAGTATGGAAAAAAACATGCTGGTAGGCTTGACGAGACAAGACAAACTGGAAACGCAGATATACAGTTGAAGTCGTAAGTTTACATACACCTCAGCCAAATACATTTAAACTCAGTTTTTCACAATTCCTGACATTTAATCCTAGTAAAAATTCCCTGTCGTAGGTCAGTTAGGATCACCACTTTATTTTAAGAATGTGAAATGTCAGAATAATAGTAGAGAATTATTTATTTCAGCTTTTAGTTCTTTCATCACATTCCCAGTGGGTCAGA